CGGTGTATGCGTCACGACAACGTCTGTTTCGAGGGGGATATCGTCCCATAGCGTGGGTAGATCACTCGCCGCGGCGCCGACGCTGCCGTGCTGAGGGGCGTCGTAGCCGAATGCCCAGAGGCCGTTGCGTGGCGAGTACGGGGAGGCAAAGACTGTGAAGGAGGTGCGTGGTCCTGAGGGGGAAGAGAGGCGGATGGTTGCTGTTTCGTGGGCGAGGTAGGTTATTGAGGGGGAGTTTGCGAGGAGGGCTGCGCAGTCTTGAGGTGATTGTGGTGTCTGGTTGTGGAAGTGGGATCCGTGTTGAGAGTAGAAGTCTGCGTCTAGGGTGATGTCATGGTTCCCTAGGCGGCCGTTTGGTCAGTGTTCTGATGTGGAGGGATGAAATGTATACTGCGTCAAGGTGAGGAAGTCTGAGGGGGGACCAACATTGTGCGTACCTGCGACGACGATTTTGGTCTCAAAATCTGCTTTCTCAAGCCATTGTATTGCCTTTGATAACTGGTGATGCCGTCAGTCACACTGTCCAAATAAGATACATTCAGAAGCAAGCAAACGCCACCGGCGAGTCCATATTTTGTTTATTCTATTGCCGCGATGAACCCAGACACCATCAGAGAGTAGCTCATCTCTCCCCGAGCGCCTCCCACATGGCTCCCGAACGGGTAAGTACCTGAGTCGACAACTGGGAACTTCCTTATTGTCTCTCGCTCTCTCTCCAACTACACTTATAGAAAGGGCACGAATGGGGCACGTACCTCGGAATAGCTGCCCTGGTTGGTCAAGTCCCCCGCATGGATCAGCACGTCGCCCTTTGGTAACTTGACGGTAGTGTTATGGGTGTCGGAGACGCATACGAACCGGGTCCTCCGCAGGACCGGCTGGCGTTGTGCTGGCGGCTGCGGCTGCGGGTGGCTAGAGGTGCCGGTATGGTCCATGATCCCGGCGATGTTGGAGGGGTCAGTCATGGACCGGGGGCCGGGCTTGGGCGGGCTGTGAGAGGTGCGTAGCGGCCGGCAGATGATGGGGCCGATGGAGAGTTCGGACCGCGTGCGTTGGTGTAATTCGATATTCGATAGACGAGGGTGCGGTGGTATCAGGGCAAATTAGGGGGAGGAGCCGGCAATAGGGCTCGAATTAGGCTACAGGGCCAATTTGTGCAGATGATGAAGGCCAAGGTATCCGTATTATCCGTATGTATGTGATGTAAGGATTTTCAAGAACAGTATACACGAGTACAAAGGCACATGAGAGGATGGGGGGCCAAGAGAGACGGACTGTCGTAATGAACCGGAATGAGGATGTTTGTGCGCAGTGCTTCACTTGAAACAGGCCGGGATAATTCAACAGCACGAAAAGGCAGCCCGGCACCGGATCGCGCAGGCCGTGCGTTCCGCCTTCCTCCAATCTGTGTTCGTAGCCCAGGATTCCTTCCAGTACCGTGGGCTTCCCAGAGCTTGAAAGCTGGTGCCTTGTAGATGATACGTTTCTTTGTGATTTGTTCCTCGGCGGTCAGATTCGTTCGGAAATTATCAGGAAAGGACGATCTGGAAATTCGGGGCCCCCTGCAGTTTCACAGCCAAGGTGCAGAGGAGAAAGTGACGAGAGATAAGATCATGAGCCTGGTCGTTCTTCTAGAAGGAAAAATAGGGGAGGGGTTTCAATGTGTGGAATGGATGAACGTCTGTTCGGTGTGACCGCTCTGTGTCATTTCGTGGATGGCGGATCAGAAAGTGAGATTGATGCCTCTAACGTTCGTAGCTAAGGTACGTAGTTGTAGGCTGTATGCAATTGGTTGGGTACGTGGGAAATCATCGGGTGTGGGGCTGGTGAGGTACTTGGGTACCTTCCCATTTCCATCATGCGAGATCCCAGGAGAAACGAAGCGCCGCCATTGGTTATACCGGCGGTGAGGGATCTCGTTGACTCGCATCCCCAATTGCACCCAATTTGTGAGGTGAGGTTTGGTTGTGAATCCAGATAGGTAGGCTTGCTGCAGTGGAAGAAGAAAAGGTCAGCAGCCGGTATTATGCAAATGGTCAGATGGAGAGACAAAACGGTCTGCAAGCGAGGTCGAAAAAGAAAGCAAAGTTCCCGAAATGGGGATTTGAAAACGTCTCAGGCGCATATACGAAAAGGAAGAGAAAGCATCAGCCACCTTCTCTTCCTCTCGTGAGGATCTCGTGAACTGTGGTACATGTAGCTATGCAGAACAGTAATCCCAGCGGCGAGGAAAGAACTGAAGAGGCAGATGACTGAGAGATTACGTTCACACACCAGAGTCCCCAGGGACAAAATGAGTGAAGACTTGAAATTGAGAAATTGAGAAGCAAGAGGCACAGCACACAGACCGTTGAGCTTCCTGGTTGGCGGTTTCTGGGATTGATTGCCTGAGCCAGGGCGGCCAGGAGGCGCAAATGACCAGTGCCGGGGGGCTTTGGCCTTGAGGGTCTAGAATGGTGCCAACACAGTGCGCTTTCCTGATGACAAACTTACATAAGCAAGGAAGCAGGGACATTACCTCAGCACAACTATGGCTCGCCTGAGGTTTTGGTTTTGTTCACGCATACATCCACAAACACAAGTACATCTGGGCTGGCATCAACACTTTCGAATAAATTTTTCATCAAAATGACGACGACGTGGATATAAATAAACAAACTCAACAAAAGCCCGATCTCGCTGACGGCCCGACGGATACTGCGTATGGGTGACGTTGAATTTGGGTCCTGGTTAGCTGAGCTGATCTGGATGGGATGAGCCTGGATTGACAGATGACGATGTCTGGCTTATCACTTATGCTAAGCATATCCGCCATACCAGCCATTGCAAGTGCCCGCGGCTGGCATTCCAAAGCCCACGTTCCATTCCAAGCATTGCTGTGCAACACACCCCGTTCCCGGCCGTTCGACCCCATCGTTCTTCAACGGTCCCAGCTCCACCGCAATTACGAGGAACCCACCGTGTTGGAAGAGGAGGGGTCACCCTCCTTTTCCTTCTATGCATATGGAGTATCCTCACATCGCTTGCGGCTCCGTTGTGGGAACCAGTCGTCAATATCGATTTTGACGACGGGAATAACCTCAATGCTCAACGATCCAAGGGAGGACAGCAAGAGTCCAGCCCAAGAGCAAGCTGTCCGAGCGCAACTGATGCACTGACAGCACTGCATCCCTTCCCTCCACCTGTATGGAGTCTGGGAGTATGCGCCTGCAGCCTGTCCGCCACTCACCTGTCGGTGTTGCAGCACCTTTGACGGTTTGACCTCCCGTCATGTCTTTCCCTCCCTCTGAATCAACGCCATGCCATTGACGCCTTTCTTTGTCTGGTCTGCGATGCAGCGTCAGTGTCACACGAACAACATGTGGGCCGTTGCACGGGACCCCTCTACGTGTCTGGAATCTCTGGATAGACGTCTGGCATCCGTCATTGGCCCTCTAGAGGCAGAGAGGCGCAGACGTCTTGCATTCGCGCGTCTGTCTGCCGGGAGGAAGAAACACGCCGGTGACAAGCGCATGTAGCGGTCGTCGTTGGCCTTTGGCATTGTTCTCCAATGAGACGCGGCAAAGCAGCAAGCGCAATGGTCAGGTAGCTAGCTGTATGGTAAGCCAAGGTATGCAGTACTTCGTATACCGGTTATGTGTAGGCAGCTGCTTGCCCCTCCTCCTTCCCCTCATCCACAAACTGTTGATCGAATGACGAGAGTGACATCTCTCTTGCTGACTACCTGATACTTTCCGAGCCAGCCTTTGGGTCCGAGCATATCCGTCATTTTCTGCAGAAACATTTGGGGGAGCCCAAAGGTAAATGCACAGTTGGGACGAAGATTGCCAGATGCAACTCTACTCCCGGCAGCATATCTTGTTAATCTTATCCGTAATACGGTGCCAGTCTCCCCCTCTCCCTCTTCTCATTCTTAACAGAAAAAACCCCTCCAATATCTCACGGCCTGCATTGGTCCAGAACTCTTCTCCCCTTTCTTATTCGCTGCCTTCAGCCACTTCTGGTGCTTTTTTCTTCCTATCAGCGACCGCGGCTCCCCGAAAGAGGGAATCCCACGCCTTGCACATGTGGGTCTTTTCTCTCCTGGATTGCGCTGGGGTCTGACCAACCAACTTCCTCAGACTAGAAGGGGCTAGTTTATATATGGATTAGCTCCAACAGACCGAAAAATACGTACTGCTGCAATTGGGGTGAACCTCAAGATTGTGGCACTGCCTTACGCACTGTGCATGTCGTGTGCGACTGTGCGGCCTTCCTCCACTTCTCTCCTCTCCCATCCACTTCATTCACTCCCCCCCGTCTTTGTCCATTGTCTCGCTTTTGTGTCTCTCTTCCTTTTTGTTGCGTTGCTCTGCACTCCGGCACTGTGGAATCCACGCTGAGAGCGGCCACCAGCAGAGACAGAGAGAGGAGACTGGACGCCATACACACCAAACAGCTCTCGTCAAACCACCACCACCTCCTCCTACCACCGCACTCGCCGCTGCGAATGGCCTCCCGCTGAAAGGCCCTCTCCTCTATACTATTTTCCCCATTTCGATTCGACAGCCCTTTTACCACGTACCACCTTCGTTGTTCCTTCTCCCGACCCCGTCCTCCGGTCGCTACATCCCGCCTTGACGCTACTTCTACTCGCTTTCCTTTGTTTCGACACACACTCAGGCGACCCTGACCCTGATCGTCCTGCCCAGACCTTTTCTTACCGTCGCGCTTCGTGAGCGCCTCCTAATAATCCGCTTTGCCGGAAGAGCTACCAACACCACGCTAGACGCAAAGCCGGCGACCCAATCCCAATCTCCCGCTCTCGTCCAACAGCGCCGCCAGCTCCAGCTTCACTTCTTCACTGCCATTGTTGCAGCACCGCCATCCCATCTCGTCGTCCTTGGCCCGACACACATCACGAGACTAGCCTTGCTGCTGGACCTGACGACAACCTCCTCCCAGTCCACATACACCCAGAGTCTGGAGGTTGCTGTCCCTCCAGCTCTCCGGACTACGCGATGGCCGCCATGTCCACCGCGTCAGCGACGGCCAACACAATCACGCCCCCGAGCAGCAGCCACGGAAACGGAGGTGCATGGAATAACTACACAACAACAGACACAGAGGTAAGATAGCTACAGTCCTGGCGACACGGCAATTTTCTTGCAATTCTTTTTTCCAATTGGCCTTGGCCAGGCTGCTCGCGAGTAAATATGCTGACAAGGTCTTGCAGAACCTCCAAAACAAGAGGTCTCTCGATAGAACCGATCAAAACAGCCGGCCACCCCTATCGCAAAACGGCAGCTCCGCCAATATTTACGAATACGGCTTCGAGCCTCTGCCTCCCCCACGAAAAAAGGCTTCCAACGACAACATATCTCTGACAAAAAGCACAAGATCATGGGACAGGACAAACCGCCGTGACCATGACACGTCGAAATCGGGCAACTTTGCGGACGATGTTTTCGGGGGGAAAGTTGGATCTGACGAGAAGCGGGCGACAAATGACATACCTGTCTCCGACGATGACAAGTGGATTCACCGGGACAAGCTGGCCAAGATTGAGAGTCAGGAGCTCCAGGCTGCAGGCATTGTCTTGCCGAGGGCGCGTGCGAGCAGCAAACCGCGCAGAGGCCGTAGCGAGGAGAAGCTCAACGGGAGCTCCAGGAGGACCACATCCGCCCCGCCAGACGATGAAATTCCTCTGCCGAGATCTAGGAAAAGCTCAATTTCGCCGGAAAGCAGAGTCCCGGAAGAGACTTTGCCGGATATGGATTTACCTAGCTGGGATCTTCGGCGGCCCGAGGAGATCGCTGTCGAAGGAGATGACGCCTACTGGACTTCCATTAGTGACAAGAACAAGAGCGGCTCCAAGATTCCCGTCGCCAAGGCTAGCCCGGCTCCCATCCCCGAGTATTACTTGGAGAGGAATGCGCCCTCTGGACGAAGACGAAGCGGCGGTAGCGAGCTCGAGACGATAGCCTACCCGAAACCGAGGCCGAGGAGCGGTAGCGCCAACACGCTCGGCGCGACATCAACGTTGGCACCCGCAAAGCGCAACAACACCGACATCTCTCCCCGAAAAGGCAGCGGCACCTCCAGCACCACCAGGAAGACCTCGACTCAGATCAAGGGTGGCGGAAAGACCAAGACACGTGGTGGCAAGGATTCTACGAGCAGCATATCTGGGAACAGACCGACAACGCGATCCGGAGAACTGTCTCCCGGTGTCAAGAAGCCAGAGGGCGACCCGCCATGGATGGTCGGATCCTACCGTCCTGACCCTCGTCTGCCGCCTGATCAACAACTACTCCCGACGGTCGCCAAGCGTCTGCAGCAGGAGCAATGGGAACGGGAGGGCAAATATGGAAGCATCTACGACAAGGAGTTCCGTCCACTCACGGCAGACGGTCTCCTCAAGCCACCCGAAGCTGGATCAAGCACTACACCCCCCGAAGAAGAGAAGCAGGAGCAAGACGAGTGGCCGCTGAGAGGTGACGCTCCCAAAAGCCCCACGGCGCAGAGCCCCACGTCGCCGAGCATCAAGCAGACCAACTCCTACTCGACCATGCCCAAAATCTCCGATAAACCCCAGACTAGCCCGCTGCCGAGCCCTCGTGGCCCACTGAGCCCGACCATGCAACCCCAGCAGCCCGCCGAGACCCAAACCGTTGTCCGCGTACCCGAGCAACCTTCCGCTGCGGCCAACATGTCCATGGGCGGCGAAAAGAAGAAGAAGAGCGGAGGCTGCGGCTGCTGTCTCGTCATGTGAACGGTCGCTACCATGTACCCAGCCTCGCTCGACTTTGCCATCCACCCCCGTATATCCCGTGTCTGCATCACACCAACATACCCCCTTTTCAACCGCGAGGCGAGCCTCCGACGACGTTATGAGTCTCTTAATTCCATTCACAGCATCGGCCCATCAATTAGATGTATTTATCGAAATATTCCCACCAGACAACTGCACTGTCTTCCGTAGCCAATGCACTTGAGAGCAGCACCGCGGTCCAAGTTTTTCTTTGTTACCCTACCGAGCGTCCTCCAGCAGCTTCGCCACTCAGCGACAACCGTATCCCCGATCCGACGTGTGCGCGTCACCTGATAGTTATGGAGGTTCTGTGGAAGACGCGCCGAGTGACGGGGATTTTGTGTTTTAGAAGCTGTACTGCGAACCAGAACGGAGAGGAGCTTGTTTATTGAACATCCAAACATTCATGGACTGTGTTCCGGCAGAGCCGTGGTTCACATCCCAAAAATCGAAAGGCAGTTGAGGAGGCCGGGGTGTCTTATCCTCATCCTCACTCATCAAGACTTGCCCCAGTACTATTCCCCCTCGGTTATCAAAAAAAATGTATAATCGTTAGCGATTGCACCCAGAAAAATTGTCAACTTTTTTGAACATCCACATATACTTGCTCCTTGGTTTCTCTTCTCTGCGCAATGGGTTTTTTTCCATTTCGCCAGGCGTTTTTTCACTATTGTATTTCTCCATGCCTGGCGTTTGCTTCTTTCGTTTTCAGAATGGGGAGTTTCGGGCATCCGTGTTTATTGCTAGTCGCGTTGAGGTTGGTGATTTTGCGTGAGGAAAGCAGGATGATGTGTGGGAAGAGGGGGGGTTTGGCGGAGAGGATGGTCATGCCGGGTGTAGAGACAGGCTCGTGTCGTGGTGGAGGTGACAAATTGATGGACGAAGAGGGAGGTGAAGAGAGGGAAGGGTGGAGTTGGGAGAGAAGGGAGGGAAGGGCGAGAGGCGGAGGCACCGGTGCGGATTTATATATAATTGATACCCCAATCCACGTTCCGCCGGTGGCCGAGGCGCGGTTGAAGGGGGGATGAGATGAGAGAGGGTGTTTTGCTGAGTTTGAGTTTGAGCTGGTTGTGTTTGGACGGGTGTTCTAGAGAGGGAGAGAGGTGCGAAGATGATGCTTAGAGAGGTGGGGGAGCGTACTTCAAAATCAAGCCTTTATCATACATATTGATCCTCGCGGTATCAGCGTCGTTTAATGGGTTCCTGCTATCGCCCAAAGTGACATATCGGGATTCTTATAAGAGAAGGAGAAGGGAAGGCGAGGGGTGACAAGTCATGCCTCTGACCGGGCTGGAACAGCGCACTTCTCGATTGAAGCCACTCTCGACTTCATGCAAGTATCTGACTTCATTCAAGTATCTGTTTTCAGTTTAATCAGCATGGGAATCTGCGCATACACAGTTGAGCTTTAGCGCCTGCTGTGTGGGGGATGGAGTCGAGTGGTGATGTGTAGCCTTGCTGGGAGGCAGAAGGGAGACGGAAGGTGGAATGAGGCTCCAGGTGTGGTTGCCTGGTGCTCTGAAGTGATTTGCCGAGATATAGTATGTATGCGATTATGGTAAACTTGTCGTGATGCTTCCCTCAGCGTGGACGCCTCGTCAACCCCAGAATGGTACCTTCCTCTCGAGAAGACTCATTACCGAATCCCGACCTTGAACTGATTCTTTGAGGCGTGTGAAAAGGAGACTCCTCTGCGCTGGTTTGCTGAGCTCCTTTCCTTGAGCAGAGGACCTGCAGCTTTTTCCATCTTGTAGAAGCAAGGTGATTGGGCGACTCAATTGCTGGCAGCTTGGAGTGTAAGGCGGCTGGTATGTTCCGATCTCATTCCGTGATGAAATTTCCCTTGTGCAAAGACATGGTGGAAAGAGCCGGAGATATCGTGCCGCTGCTTGTTTTTGATGGTCCGCCCTTTCGGTGGTTTCATGGCGGAATATACAGAGGGCGACGAGGCGTGGTTGAAACCCTTGGCCGTTGACCTTGAGGAGTGCGTAGTGCTTATGTTCCTATAATGTGAAGAGAGCTTAACGCCATTATTGGGAAACGAATCGGCCAAGTACCTGCGCAACCATGCTCTGGTTTCTTGTGTAGAACCAGAGCCACAGGTGCCAAAGAATGTGGCTGGTAGTCCAGAGCTTGGGACTTGTGCAGAGGATGGCTCCCTTTTAAGGGCATTTAGTTGCCTCTTAGAGAGAGTCGAGGTAGGAAGGAGGGGACTTTCCTTAAGCCTCGACCTGGTGAGAAGGTCAATACGCCACACAAAATAGTCTGTTGATTAGGATATCTGAATCAAGCTGTTCAACGATTTCAAAGCACGTTATACTTGACAAACTTCTTTGGAAACAGGGTATCCGGATTAAATGACCCAAATACCAATCTATCACAACAGGAACACCTTCCACCGCTAATCACCCGCGTACCAGTAGAGCTTTCCGCAAGTCTCCGTGTAGTCAGGCTCTCCATTTCCCTCTAGAAAAAGCTGACCATGCTGGCTCCTACTTCTGAGTACGATCCATCTCCCTGGGAGCACCCTCTTCAGCGCCGGACACGCCACATGACGTTTCTTGTGAGGGAGTCCCATCCGTCTCATCCTCGGCGACCACAATATGGCTCCCGATAAGCTGGACTCTAAGCCCTCTCGCGAGCTTTTTCAAGGCATCCACAGGTTGGAGACCTTCACCCGCCGCAGTGCGGCAAGCTGGACTGAGAGCCACAAGAGTGCCCAACGATGAGCTTTTGAGGTCTCTATAATTTGAATCTGAGCCTCCCGTAGAGTAAATGATGGTAATGACGAGGAGCATTGCTGCAGCCGCGATCTCGGCTACGAGCAACATCACCCAAGGCCATGTTATCTTGACGTATGTGGCCATCGTTGTCGCCCGTCCGGGAACATTGAACACACCCATCGTCCATTGACCGTAGGGCCGGTACATTCTAATCCTAAATCTCGTATCAGCTGTGGCATAAGATCACAAACAGAGCAGAAACACCCTATGTCTGGACGTACGAGGCAGATACTAAAGTGGCAACGTTTTCGTAAATATTTTTGAGGCAAAGTTCTCGAAGTTCGAGGTTTAGTATGTTGCTTCGAGAGAACAGTACCGCTTCATGAAGTGTACTGATGAATTGAAAACCTTGAACGTGTTGTGGAAGAGACCCGCTAGTATCAGGGGCCATCGAAACGAATGCAAAACCTGCGAAGAAGCTCCTCATTGCCTGAGAGATCTCTTCCATCGCACGATAATTCGTGCTGAAAACTGCGGCTTCATTTCGAACCAGCTTGGTTGCAGAACCTACACGTTGAGTGGGATCCCGGAGGCTTAAAATTTCATCCCCGCGGTCAGGGCTGGTACTGCATGCCCACGATCGGTTTAGAACCAATGATTGGCAATCCATATCGAGAAACGCCTGGCCATCTTGGCCAACGGGTTCGGTGAACGTGTCTTCGATTAGAGTACGTTCCCTGCCCAGCTGAACTGTGGTGTTGTAAGATTGCACACACAGGTGGAAGAGAACTTCGACGGCCTCATGCTTAATACTGTGGACGTGATCAAATGCCTCCTGCCATGTTCTTTTTGGACCTTTGAATGTAGACATCCACCAAGTCTTGTCAGACTCAGTCAGCATTGGTGCAGTGTAAATCAGAAAGAATGATGCGATTCTTGCTCGAAGCAGAGCTGGGTTGTGTTGGAACGCAAACGTATGGTTGCCGTTCAGTATGTCTGTGAACAATGCTGCTTTGCTCTGATGGTCGAAATCAAAGCCACCGGGTAGCGAAACTTTCCATACACTGCTGTTTGGAAGGATCCTGTCGGCTAATATCGGAGTTTCTGTCATTCTTCCATCTTCAAACTTCTCAGCTGTTAAAGAAGATGTTATGTTTGCCAACTTTACACACACCCCAAGAGATTGATACTTATCGAACGTGCAGTTGCTCGTGGAACAAAAGGTTGCGTGAGTATCGATGGCGGCATACGGTAACGGTTTCTGAAAATTCTCATAATCTAGGAAGCTAGTTTGATAACTGGCGAAGCGGATTGCTGACTCAAGCTTATCTCTGGGGTACATGAGATCTCGGACTGCTTGCGTAGTAGCCTGGCTTCCTGTTGCTTCTTTTGCGACGAGCATTTCTTCTTGTGAGTATTTGATAGACAATTGTGTAATTGGCGATGTCAGAGCACTGATCGCGGTGAGGAGCGCCCCAAGAACCACAAAATGCCGGAATCGGAAACGCGACAGTAGTATCAAAGAGCCCCATGCTCCTCGGCTTGCTTGATCTATCAGTTCGAAATCGTAGAGAGATCGAGGTACACCATTCGCATTCAACCAGGCCCATTGTGACTGGCTGATGCAAGCGCAAACGGGTACCATGAAGGCAGCCTTCGCTAAGGTGGTGAATAATGCGAGGAAAGAGTTTAGTGTAGCCTCGAACGGCCACTTCGGTTGCACTTGCGAATCATACTTGAGAAGCACGACAATGATGACTTGATATCCGAGATCAGCAATCGGAACTTTTCAAAGGGCATTGATACTTACCGCCTGTGAGAAGTGTACTCAGTACGATGCAGGCTATCTCGAGAGCCCATATTTTCCAAGTCGGCTTCAAGGTCTCCGTGGCTCTCTTGGCTTCATCGAGCCTTTCGGCACTAGCACTCGTAGGTTGTGGGCCTTCGTCAGGTCCTTCTGGTGTCTGTTGTGCACTTGGGTGAGTGGTGACACTGATGGGTTTTCGCCGGATCCCCGCGCCTGGAATCGAGAGGTCTTCATGTTGGTGTGTGTCAAGATTGGTGCCGTGGTTTTCGTGAGGTGAGATTGGGTTTATCTCACTCGCCATGATCTCGGCTTCGGAGCTCAACAATGTCCATTCATGAGTCTGGACGGCAGAAGGTGGGTGAGATAATGGAGGCGGACTTTGCGGACGACGCGATATTGACCGGTTCACCTCACTTACGTTATCCGGAGAGCACTGGTCAGAGGATATCATCGGAACTCGCTGCTGAAGATGAGCTTCCGGAGACATAGCTTGAGATGGTCCTTCGTTGGCCTGCATGACGGATGAGAAGATAAGATGCAGGAAAATGAATCGTGCTTCAGATGGAAGAGAAAAGCAGCTTGTGGATCACAGCTCTGCACGAATATAGGCTCTTAAATGTTCATGGTTGGCCCAACGCCGAGCCTGATGAGGACGGGGCGCCGTGACACTCGAGATTCCAAGTCAGTGTATAGATCGCCTCCATAAGTATCCCACTCTTCTAGTCAGTAGACGTAAGCCCGGCTTATCTGATGTAGTTCGTGCGCTGTCAACACGGCTATTCGGTGACACCGACCCCAGCTTATGGTAGTGCCAGTCTCCAGATGCCTCTGTGACAAGGCAGAAGATCTTCCTGGCGTAAAGTCATTGGCAGTGGCATATGGTTACATTTCGACCTGATCCGTGTTACTACTATATGTGGTGTTTTCTGCAGACTTGGGCACCAGTTCGGCTCGCTTATCTTGACCGTTAACGTCTTCTAAGCCGAGTCAGTGTTCCGTTCGACAAGACGTGGCCACGTAGAGATACCTAGGCTCGCATCCATTTTATTGTGCAAATTGAGCAAATTATCTATCGCTACGGCCGTCAAGGCCGCCTTGTCTTGTTATCCCCAGACTGGGGTAGTGTAGTCATAGACCAAGAGACTTGCATAGATCACAGTATTACGACTGCATTACGTTTGGTTAAGAGAAGTTGAATGGACTCTTAGAAGCACGACGAACTGGAGAGGCACCGCTGATCGAGTAAAAACATAACAAAACGCTGGTGGACTAGGTAATATAATACGGGGCTACGAACAGACAAAAGATCGCCTTTTGAATGCTCACTGATGGGCGAGCTTGGCTTGAAGTTGCAGCTCCCGACGAATCTGAATTATTATAGGGTATAGCGATTAGGCGGCAGGGCGAAACTTGAACATCTCATTTGGATAGAACATCACACCTGATATATTCCAATAAATACTCCGGATGGTTCATACTCAGTACAGCACACTGAACACAAAATTGCCTAAGACAGGTGTACTATGCAAGCTATTCCACAGGGCCACCACTGCCTTCGATGAAAGGCACTACTCCACCTTCTGACCTCAAATATAGTTATGTGTATGTATCAAGATCCATCGATCTAGAAGTTTCGACGGCGATGAAGCCGTATGAGGAAGCAGTGCCGGTAAAATAATTATATGACAGCACACAGGAATAGGAATATCAAGGAATATTGATATCGAATTGTATTAGGTGGCTCTCTGTGGGACGTACCCCGGCTGTCTCAACTTCTCCGCCGCTGTCAGCGAGCTCTCTCAATCTGTAGTACAAACATCCTTTTTCATGAGCCCAGTCAATAAAGCCCATGCCACCCCGAATGTACAAAAGAAATCCTCAACAAGTAATTGGCTCGTAAACATGGTCGAATCCCCAGATACAAGTTCCAAACTCACTCCTTCTGGTCCAAAACGGAAGCATGCAACACGGTGGGACTTGTCTGGATAAGCGTACCAACAGTAACATGCGGCCAGCTGAGGTTAGCAAAGTCCAGTGTGACATTCTGCGTGTACTGAAGCTGAGTGTACTCCACGGACACCGTCTTTGCTTGCGGGATCGGGAAGTGGACCTCAAAGACGGGCACTTCCTCACCCTCGCGGAGGGGCAGCGGCGAGAAGTGCTTGCACCGCTGGTGCTCCGAGGGTCCCTTCCACGGCTCGAGATGGATCTTTGTGCGGACGGTGGAGATCCAGTACTGGGCCTCCATGCGGGTTGCGTTGGCGTTGGCACGGCTAGGGAGTTCGAGGGCTTGTTGGCCGTCACCGACGAGGAAGCCAATGTTGGAGGTGCCGCCGCCGAGGTTAGTTCCCTCGGGCTTGGTTGTGATCTTGTAGGAGGTGTTCTCGAGGATGTTCTTGCCCTTGTTGGCCAGCTCCAGGACGACGTTGGGGTTGTCGATCATGTCTTGGGTGATTGTATGGGCTTGCGTGAACTCGTGGAGGTCTTGCGGGAGGCGGAAGGTGGCAGGGTCTTTTGCATTTTGGCTGGGGAAGAGGATTCTTTTGCCGCCGCCGACCGGGAAGGGCTTGATGTCGACTTTGGGAATGAATGGTGCTCCCACGCTGAAGGATGGCTCCGAGAAGCACTGGGCGTTGATGGTGGTGCCGTGCGGGATGGAAGCCATGCGAGCAAGGGATGTCTTGAGCTTGGGTATACTTGTAGCGGGGACGTGCATCCAGAGACCGGGCTCGAAGTGAATGACGGGAGGTTTCGGCTTCGGCTCCGTGATATCATGAATGGTCTGGGTGTAAGGAACGCCGTTCAGTTCGATGTCCTCCTGCTTCATCAGTCCGCGGTTGGGCACATCGCCGAGACCGGGAGCAAAAACTTGGCTCTCGTGCGTGATGTTGAGTTGGAGGATGTTATCCGGGATAAAGGGGGGCTTCAGCACGGGGGTGACTGCCAATGTGGTGGGAGAGGTAGTGCTGTGAGGGCGGAAGATGGTGTTAAAGCCTTTACCGGTGAAAGTGCGGTTCTCCAGCTTCTTCAAGATTCCCAACGGCGGGGCTGGTGCTTCTGGTGTTGCTTGTTGAGTGGTGTTGGCATGGGTCGTATCCGGAGTGCCGTTGTTGTGGGCGTTGGCGAGGTACGGGCAGCCGCCACGGCCGTTGGAGTTGTGGTCGCTTTGTGGCTGGAGGACGGTGGCTCCGAAGGAGTTTGCCTCTGGGACGCTGATCGAGGCGGAGGTGGTGATTGGGAGACCCATGACTGCAAATGTGCTTTGGAATGTCTGGTTCTTCAAAGTAACGGATGAAGGTGAGCTGTGTGGTGAGATGGATGAGGGATGATGATGAGAAGAAGGGATTTTTAAGTAGTTTTCCCCTGATACTATCGATGGCACCTGAATCAAGGTAAATGGAAGCACAAGTTACACGAGCAACAGATAGGCAGAATTCCGCAAGCGCAGATACGAGCTGACTGTTGATGGCTTCAGTTGGAGAGCTGAAGTGTGAATAAGACACGTCGAACGCCACAGCCTGCAAGCTCGAAAGTATCATCTGAGTGGCATCAGCCGCATTCGAAGCTGACAGTGAGGCGTTCTTTACTTCCGCTTCTCTGCTTTTGTAAGTTGTGTGGCACTCCAACTCGCTCGCCGCCTTCATACCGGCAAACAAAGATGAGACGCTGAAGCCTATCTCTTCACTATGAGGTCCAGCAGGGATCGTACGCCACTTTCTAGGCAGTAAGGGTCCTATAGGCCCTATCATGCGAATACTGCATCAATACTAGAAAAGACGATTGAGAGTTTTCGAGTGTCTCATATCCTGCTCTAGGCCTTAGAAAGGTGCGGCTGAAGCTCAGCGGGCACGTGCCGGTCCGCTTCCGGAACGTTGAAGCCTGCAACCAAGCCGCATCGGCAGTTTGAGAAATGGAAGTCCCTGGATCTCTCGCGATGGAATTCTGGTCTTGCGAAGCCAATGTCCCTTGGATTCCTCACTAGAGAAGCCGGCTGGTTGTCTTGAGTCACAATGGCACATACTGACTTTTAGGGGTAAGTACGTCGTACAACACTCACGTTCATCAGGGACTGAGATCACGGGAAAAGTCGAAGGGGTCTTACATGCAGGTACAACCTATAGCCTACTTCAATCTAGCACATGTGCGTTTCCGAGGGGACCCCCAATCACATCTTCTCCCCCTCATCAGCTGGAATCCAAGTGTCTCTGGCTTTTGGAAATCCTACACATCTCATTGGCCATTGTCCGCATGCCACCTTTCCCACGCCATGTGCTAATCTGACGGCACCTAGAGGAAACGTGGAAATCCCCCACCCGGGTACGACGGTCTAGATCCCCTAGTCTTGAACTTTGGCATGCAAGCTGTCGGACCGCCTCACCCCGCCACTGCAACCGGAGGGTTCCGAGGCTTCGCCCAGATTTATGTCTCAGCCCTTTCTCAGATAGGCTTTCTGTCAATCAGCCCGGTGATGCGGAACGTTCCACCGCACCCGGGAAACAAGATGGCGGGGTGGAATTGCCATGGGTTGCACATGGTATTCACTTGCGTTGCGCGGCGGGCAACGGGGCGACTTTTCGGTGAAGAATGTGTGGCATCAGGGACTATTCCCGTCATGTGTGCGGGTGGGAAAGATGGCCATAGAGCATTCTCTTACCTTGAATCAGCAAGGGTATGGATTTTCTACTATATGAGCTGTACTACGACTGGATCCCGCTAATACAGGGGCAAAAACATACATGGGGCAGGAGGCATGCATGTAGGTGCTCCTTCCCGTTGGCTACCTCCCGACCTACGTTAGGCCTGATAAATTCACCAGGAATACATGACAGGTGCGTCACTGAATTATCGTAGCGTTGGAAGCCGTAGGAACATGGCCAGCGTGTTCCCTTTCCATCCTAACAATAAAGATCGGGCCTAGTAATCGAGTAGTAAAAGCCGTGAAGTGCTGACTATTGCGTGATGCTCCGTACTCTTCAGGACTCCTGCGTTCAATTCTCGGTCGGCTCCTGTTGTTTTTGTCTTTTTCTTGCCGAACAGAAATTGATCAATGAGTCGCTTGCATTCTACTACTCTCTGCATTGCTGGAAAGGCATGCACCCGGCCGGTTCGTCTCGTGGACTTAATTCATAAGGCGGCAATAAGCTTCTAACTGTCGCCTTGCGGTTCTAAGACGCCGTCAGACCTTCTTTGTGACGAAGCGACTTTTCCCAAATGCGATGGGCGACGGTAAGTGATTGAACTTTTACGTGCCGTGACGACGGGTGATTATCGAGGAAGGAATGAAAAGAGCTTTGCTGCTCGGCGTGAGGATGAAGCTCAAGGGGCTTGATCTGGGCCATGCCAGAGACCCAGCCTCTTAAGTCCATTGCTCCTAGGATCCTTCGGAAAGCACAATTTCCGAGACAAGAACTAAGTCATGCCGCAAAGAGATGTCAAATCCGGTTTTGTTGGTGTTTCCCATGAGCCTGAAGATTTATCTTGATTCTTGATGACGCAACTCGTCCGGTACGTGAAATGAGAGCGAATGGCTAACGGACTTTCGTCAAAGCATTCGGTATCAAACAATAAAACTGATCAGAGAAATTCCTCCGATTCCTCTTGCTGAGATGCTATCAAATGTGAGGTCTGCCTAGCAGTATATGTAGCTGACACCGAGAGGACGGCGTGACGCAAGCAACATATCACGACATTGAAATGCCTATCTAGGTACGTATAAAGACGTCACTCAGCTTCCCAATACACAGGGATATCGTGAAATGACTGAATAAAGGGCACAGACAGGCTTTTAAATTTGAAGAGACATCTCACAAATAGCAGAACACCGCAAAAAGCAAAAGAATGCGTCGAGGGGGAATCGAACCCCCGGCTCCCCGACGCTGCTTGATGGCAACGGAGAATTTTACCACTAAACCATCGACGCTGGGTGTTGATGATTCGAGTTGGTGACTCGGATGCAGGTTGGCGACGAGAATGGGACTCAAGTTGAGAGACAGGTGGGCAGGTGCTGTTGTGTGTGTTCGCGGATTAAGATTGTGGAGGATGATGGTTCACGAAGTCCACTCAGTCCACTTTTACCTTGATTGGACTCAAATGATGTTGCCCCCACTCCAAAAAAGGGGGCACTCAAACTTGAGTAACTTTGCACGTCTTGTGCAGTGATTTCATGTCTGATTTTAGCCTCATTGTTCTTCGCTGCGACTGCGGAGGCAACAGCTGACGGAGAGACGGAAACGGATCTGGCGATATCCTATCAGCTTGGACGAGCTTGTAGAAAGTTAGAGATACTCTGATTTCAGATTAAGTAGGTCACTGCGTAAATCAGACGCGGTCGCGCCGTGTGTTAGTGACCACAAGGCACATCGCATTTGACGTCCGTGGCTGCCTGACGGCAATTTGCACCAAGAAATGGACACAAGCATCTAGCGCATCTACAGAGGGCGTCTAAAACTACAGACAAAGTACTAAAAGTTGTCATCGGATGTTGGTGCTACGCTGTGATTCGTGATACCTCAACTGTGTTGGTGTGCTCTGTGATAGGGCTGACTCAACCATAGGTTTCTGCAGTGCGCCTCGTGACTTGAGACAATGAGGCTCAAGTTCAAGCCAAGCCTGAAGTAAATGAGAGTTTCAACGTCATCAGCTGGTCTAGCTGATGTTACATGTAGAAAACTGAAAATCCCGTTTGACTATAACATCAGGATCAGTTTCCCCGTGCCACGTTGGAGCAGAAGCCTTATGAGACGTCTGTCATACATGGGCAGCTAATTCATCTTGATATATTGCCCTCGTAGAGGCTGCTCACACCATTACGGCGACTAATGGTTGCAGTGATTCCTCTTGTGCGAGTACCATTTGCTTCACCTAATCTAGCAGGATTGTATGAAGGTCGCAACAATGACCCATTCATACAAGGAAGATCACAATCGTGAAGTCATCGGTCGCATGATCATGTCACCATGGTAGAGATTGTGAGACCAGCCACCAGGTAGAGCTAGGTTCTCTACAGCTGAATATCACAGAGCTTGAGAAGCTACGATCAGCACCCAGCTAACAGCTAATAGATCCTTCAGCTTACATGGGTTGCTATCAAGGTCACTTTCGCAGCTCCTAATCTAAAGGTAGCGATATTTCGACATCGTCCTTTCCCAGAGATGATAGTAATGTATGTCATTGATTTGAAATTTTGAATGACTTACTCGTAATAAGAACCATCGAAAATGGAAGAGAAAGGGCCAAGTTGAGAGGCAGCTTTCGAGGACGACCTGATACCAGCGCATGATAAATCTTGAATGGGCTGAAGAAATGGGGAGATCTTTCGGATCAACTTTGGCGACCAGCAAAGTTCATTTGCCGCGATGGAAGTATGTGGATAATCATGATACAGAATTCAGGGGAAAAGGATGAAGTAAAAGGAACAGTACTACGAGGTAGCCATACCCGGAATGATTCTTTCGTTCTTACGAGGCCGCAGCGAAGTCAAGAGACACGCGCTGAAACCGTTGTGTTGGAGAATATGACCATGCAGCATATCTAACAATTGCTCGAAGAGCTGTAAATGTAAGAAAACAAACAATGGTAGCAGCATGATTTAGCGTGACTCATGTGCTGTGGATAATTAAAAGGAGTTCTTACAAGGTGAAGCCTCGCTGCCCGCGGGGAACCTAAAATCAGCCATTTCTGTGAGGGTGAACGATGCGCTTTCAACTTGAGTTTTCAGACTCCAGCTGAGCCTCTTCCACACGCTCTTATTTTAGAATTTTTCGCCTTCGAGGATACCCGCCGGTATATTGTGGCTTGCAGATCGAAACATTTTCGCAGAAGCATGCGCCTCTCCCTTAAGCACTCGACCAGCGCGGACCCAACTGTACGCTACTCTCTGGCTTGATCCTAAATTCGGTTAGAGGGGAACCCTGAAATCGAGGAAGTGGGGTCACGGGCCGCGCAAAAGCCGCATTAGACCTTTCCCCGAATACCCCGGCGCCCCGAACGGGGAGCCGAGTCTTGCCGGATTCGGATACGAAGTAGACATCGACGTCATGAACATGCCTTTCAGGGACGTTGGTCGGACTCAATTCACCCGGCGACTTGACCAACGTTACGTTACCTTATTCTTAGCGTTCAAAGACCGAGAATCGCTTCAACGTGCTGGCTTCCTGTTCTCCCTTAGCGATAGAACTTAGCCGCGAAGCCGACTTAGGCGAGGTCTATCGTGTCCCTGTGTCATTAGCGATGTCTCATCGCCCATTGCCACAGCCCCTTGACACAAGTGGTGGATCTCGTATAGACTCAGTGGTCCACCGTCCGCAGACTGGCGAGGGAGAGGATCGGTGAAGGTCTCACCGCCACGAGATAATGAGCTGGGTAACCTGTTGAGCACCTGTCAATGTAGATGGGAAAGTCTACTGAGCCCAGTGGGTTCGAGTTACGATTTATCGGAGCCCCAGTTGACAGTTGGCAGAAAGTTGTGTCTCTTTCGCTTCCTGTCTTCTTGCAGAATTGAAGCCGATGGAAATCTCTCGAACTCCAGGCTGAAAATCCTCTTCCGATCTTCAAGCAGCTTGAATGGTCAGTCACAAAACATAAACAGAGACAACAAATCATGACCTCAAGAGAGTCCACGCTCAGAGAAGGAGACCCCTGCCATCGACATGCCAACGCTTCAAGCTTGGCAGGGAGAGTGGGGTCCGCCAACTGCACGCTGCGGGCAGGGAAATCGGCTTTGGCCCGGTTCATCTGAGCCGCGGGAAGAAGCTTGGCGTGCGTAAGGCTCGCTTGGTCAACCTTCTGGGCTGAAAAAGAAGCCTCCGGGGAGCTAGTTTTCTCCGAGGTTGGGGGAGTGATGATCGCGCGACAGGGGTGACTTTGTCTGCAAGCTGCCCAAAATAGATAGATTAAAAGTTGACAATCGTCCCATCATGTGCCTTGAGGCGGGGAAAGTTGTGGGGTGATCCAATCAAAAGGCTATGCGTACGAGGGTTCGTCTAATCATACAACATAAGCTGCCAAACCTTGAGCCCGTTATTAGAGGGGGCTTTTCTGGATCCATTGTGGACATGCGGGAGTTTAAGCCTGGGGGTCTTTTGAGGGAATTCTAAGTAAGACCCCACCCCACACGACGGATTACCCCCCACGACAGATCACTTAATTTAGACGATTTTCTAGACTTCGACTTTTTAACCTTATAACTACGAATTTAATTATTAATAATATAACGTTACTAAATTTAAAATTCTAAATATATATTAGTAAATTAAGCTTCTCTTATACTAATTATAAGCGTTAGAACTATAATTAGGTACTATAAGCGAGCCTTAGCCTCTCTTTTTATTTTTATAATAGCCTTAATTTATACGAATTACTTATTTAAATCTTACTATACTTTTATTTTTATAATTAGCTTATATAATTATATTTAAGCCTTTAGTAACTTAATAACTAATTAAGTATTAGCTAGGGCTACGTTCTAAATATCTAATTACTTATTTATTTTATTAAATATTAATTTATAAATAATAAAATCGTAGTTAACCTCGCCCTTATTTTATATTTAGAGCTTTTAATACTTCCTAAAGTTTCTTAACTTTTTAAAAATAATAATATTATAATTTTAGGGTATTTTAAGAACTTTTAAAAATAAGAGCTCTTATAATAGCGCTTATAAAACGTTTATAAGCTGCGCTATAATAATAAATTTACTAAATAGGGGCTACTATATATTAATAAAGTATAGCCTTATTATTTTTTAATTAGTATATATATTTTATTTTATAAGCGCTTATACTCGGGCTTAAAAATAATAATAAAAAAAGTTCTACTTTTTAATTAGTACTAAGTTAAGCTAGAGGCTATAATTTATAAGTTTATTATAATAATATATTTTAAGGAGTAAGAATATTAAGATATTTAGGGGCTAGGTAATATAGTTAGAATATAGTAATAAATAATATAAATAAACGCTCTTAAAGTAATATTATTATATAAAATTATTAAAAACGTAATTACTATACTTATTAATTATAAGTAGACGTTTAGATTAGAGTCTTTAAGCCTTTACTTCTATTTACGGAATAAATATCTTAACTAGCTATTCTAGCTTAATTATATTCGAAGTCTACTTATTTATAAAAGACGTAAAGCTTTATAAAACATAATTTAATATTTTTATAGGGAACTACTATTATTATATAGTTTATTTTTTAAAAATAACTAATAATAAGAGGTACTAGCTATTTATAAAGATATATTTAAATATAGAGGTCTAAGTACGGTCCTTTAATATCTAAACATAAATAGATCTTTTTTTAAACTTACTTAGTACTAAATAGTCCTTATTACTCCCTTTTATTAAACCCGTTTTATTTATATTTTAATAAAAGGATATTAAGATTTTATAGATATTTAAAAGTATTAAGATCTTTTAAAAAGCTTATATAACGTTAATAATAATAAACTTAATATACTTAAAATCTATATAATAAGCTTATAACGTTAAGAGCGTAAGATTTTATATAAAAATCTATTTATTTATTTCTTTTTAAATAGGTACTAGTCGCTACTTTATTAAGAAATATACGTTATAAACTTTTTAACTTAGATATAAGTTAGAGCGAACCCTAATTAGCCCTATTAAATTACTTAGTAAGTAAGGGATTATTCTTAGTATTTATTAAGCCTTTAGTAATCCTTTTTTAACTTTTTAACTATTATAGTACCTCGTAGCCGGCTTAAGAGGGTAGTATAAGGGATTTTTTAGTTTATAATAGCCTTTTAAATCGACTTATTAAAGCTAACGTTATATTACGTATTTTTAATATATTCTTTTATATAATTGGGTATAGCGAATTTATTAGTAATTTTAATATAATTTTTATGATTTTTTTTAATAATTTATTACTTATATATTATAGTAGTAGTAGTGTTAAAGGAGGGAAAAAATCGTCTAAATGGGGTGATCTGTCGTGTGGGGTGGGGTCTTATTCCCGCAATTAAAGTTGGAAAGCCCCTTTTCCACGTTATGCTATAATCAACATTGGCTGTGATTGTACATAGTATTGGAGATGCTGCATGTTATGGTAAGGGGGCGCGGTTGATGTGTTTCATTATGCGCGCTCTCGCCATCAGAAATTCCTATTTTGCGCATGGCAGGAAATTGTAAATTGAACAGGGCTATTATCGAGTAATTGGAAGTGGACTTCTCCGTTGTTTATTTTGCATAATAGACGTCATATAGGGGTTGGAGGCTATGACGTTTCACCTCAAGACTAATTCGGGAGTCGGGTCAAATACGAGTTCGGCAGTACCGGGGTCCACCGATCGCCGTTGGCGATCGTCATTGCCCCGGTGGATAGCCTCCCGACTCCTCGTATTATTCAAGATTTGGTTGCAATCAAAGTGATATATAAGGTTGACAACTTCGCAAGTTATCATGGTAATTTCGATCTGTATCACACACAATCAACTCATCTAATCACAACCAACTCACAACACGCAACAACCTATTCTTTAATCACCCAAACAAACACCAAAACCACCATCACAACCTTCAAAATGCAGTTCGCCACTCTTCTCGCTTCCGCCTCCGTCGCTGCCGCTGCTGCCATCAGCAAGCGTGACGTTACCTTCAAGGTCACCAACTTCGGTGCCGACTGCATTCCCCACAGCACCCAGTGCTCGTAAGTTTTGACAACTCTGCAACATCCTCTCACACATGCTAATAACCTTCTAGTTACGGATTCACTGTCATCCAGCCCGGTACCATGGAGACCACCGGTGTCAACTGCACCGCTCTTGTCCCCGGCAACACCGACGGCACTCTCCCCGATGTCAAGGAGGGCACCTGCACCCTGTCCTCCCGCACCTTCGACGTCGTCCGCAGCGCCGAGGGTCTCACCCTCACCGTCTCTCAGCCGGTTACCCCCAGCAGCAACCAGACTGGCTCCCACCTTCTCCCCAACTCCGACTTCGAGATCTCCAACCAGCCCAACGCTGTTGTTCAGCACTACACTGGTGCCCGCTCTTTCGACCTCGAGTAAATATTTCGCCTCGTTCGATTCGTTAAAGAACACGCTCCAGCGACGATAGGAATGGGTGTGCCTTACACATAGCATTGGGAGGATGGCAAAAGATTGTACAACACATGTTTCGATAGAGTAAAAAGATACCATCATAGAATTCAACTGATTATCCATCCACAAAGACAATTTTCTCATGCCGGGCCCTCATTAATTGAACACAACCTCTAGCGCAATGCTGAACTCGTGGTATAAGGTATTGTGTGAAAGGTCACCTGATCCAGAGTAGCGTAGGTTTTGCTGTACCGTGCTTTCATTACGATGATCGCCCAGAAAGCTGATATGATGACAGTTCCCTGGTCCCTCGGTTGTACTAGACATACCTGACATAAGTATATCTCACAATCTTTAGGCTTCTCGCAAGGCTTATCTGGTTAATACCAACCAGACCGAATCAGCATCAGGTGTTCTGAGCGTCTTCAGCCACACAAGGCATCCCTAGTAAGCCAACAGAGCAGACAGAATGCGTTTATGATTGGTCCTTCGCAATCCCCTTAATCCAATCAAAGAAATAAGGCAACCACTCATTGCTTGCCAACACGCACTTGGGGAGATACCCAATCGCTGTATCACACCACCAAGAGAATAGTCAGCAGTGCTGAAATGTCAAAAAGCCTGCAGCCTCATCAGCTGCTTACTTCTCACCCTTCTGAAATCAGGCTGTCATTATCCCTTAAATTGTCACCCCGAGTTCATTTTCTTTAATTCTCCTTCTTGCCCCAGAAGATTCTCACGGATTTGAGACCACGACAACCACCGGTCAACACGTGAAGCCGCGTCGTCATTAATCCATGGATCCTCTGTCTATATCCAGTGGCGTTGCGGGTCTTATTTCCCTTGGACTTACTGTCTGCAAAGGTATCAATACCTTCTGCCAAGATTATAGGTCACGCGACTTTGATCTCATCAACCTCACGGAGCATGCACAAAGACTAGATTCGTTCCTTCGGCTGATACAAACTCGGTTGCAAGCAAGTCATCACATCGACTCAGCGCTGTCAATGTCCTTAAGAAACTGTTTCGACGCCTGTCAGGGATGCACTCAGGAATTTGAAATCCTGGCTAAAGAGCAAACTCGGTCACCAGGGCCAAGAGAACTCAAGGAGTATGGAAAAGATGCCGCGAGACATTTGCTGTATCCCTTGCAAAAGGCCAAGTTCGACAGACTAAAGGCAGAAATGCAAAGGTTCTACACCGCAATGACAAGTTATTTGCTCCTCCTTAACCAGTATGTCGTAAGATTTCCCCACTGGAACACTCGATTAGCTCTAATGTGGTTTCCAGTGACCTTACCAATGAGCTACGAGAAGCTGCGATTTCCGAATCCGTCAAAATGGTTTCTCTAATGATGTATGAAAATCAGAAGACAGCAAGCCAAATAGCTGCATTATTGCCTGCTTTGGAAAGAGTGATTGATACAAAGCTGGCTGGGCTCGAACGCTCGTCATTGGTATCATTGAGGTCTAGCCCAGGAGCCGGCGACGTTTCAATGAATTCCTCGCCTTCATCGCCTCCGTCACCGAAACATTGTGGGAAGAGTCTGCATCCCAAGAACGAAAGTCGAAGTAACACCGCAGACAGCTCGGCAGACAATTTCCTCACAAGCGACGCCGTGGCCCAAGCATCATCTCGCATCAAACTCGAAGATAATGCACCGAAGACTTTGCCTTCTTCAGAAGTACCGAGCGACGAAAATTATCAGAATTTTGGGTGTTCTTGCAGGGCCAACTCTCTCCTCGGACGGCGAGACGTGTCTATCCGTGGTCGCCCCAAGCACGACAGCCATTGCGATCTCTTCTTCATGAACCCTAGTCAACGAGCCATAAAAGGCAAGCTTCAACTTTTCAGCATTCTGATTTCTTGGAAATTGGAAATCCAGTACTCACGGCGACTGTTCTACCGAGATTTACAGATCCATCCTGCAATAGCAATAGTAGCGCGATCCTTGGTATCAAGTGACTCACCTGCTTTTACATTGGTCGATGAATTAGTTCTTAGAACTTCAGATATTACAGCAGAAGCTCTTCAAGCTCAGATATCATCAGTGTCAAAGGACTTGAGATGTCTGTTCAGGCGCGGCAGAGCCTCGCCAGGTGACATCAACTTCCTCGGTCAAACTCTTCTTCATGTAGGAGAACTCTGCCGTGCCATATCATCGTCTACTTTTAAGCTTTGCTAATTTCAAAAAGAGGGCTAGTAATGTGCATGGCCACTTATGGCCTGACCGAATGTCCGAGATTTGGGTACGGTTCATGAAGGAACTTGTACTTATGGGCGTACCCCTTAACGAAAGTGGATGTTTCGGGTAAGATTCGTTCTCAGTTTTCGACCATTGAACTTCAATAGACTAACAGACCTAGTTCGGCCCTGTCATGGTTTCTTGAGCTCCGTAGAAGAAGGCGCCTGGAGCATACGAAGAGGACTTCACAAGATCTACCAACAGGCTCGTTGGTCCTTGCAAAAGGATTAATTGAACTAGGTGCTCTATATATCGATTATCCAACATTCGGTTTAGAATCAGAAAAACTAGTCATCCTATCGGAATACAAGATTTTGACTTTACCTGATATCTACCAGTGTTTCTCGTGGCATCTTGATGGTAAGTCTGATGTTAACACATCTCGTCTTTTTATGTTAGCCGCAAAGTAATGACGCTGAAAGGATTTGATTACGGTGCATTGTCCTCTGCGCTTTTTCAAAAGTCAGAACCGGCTCTCCGAAGGATTTTGATGGCGTCGTCATCCATTATGATCGAGCGATGCCACAACGACCAGACTCCTCTTCATGTGGCCGCTTACTGGCCCAGAGGCCTCCAACTGCTTTTCGAATTGGCTGGAGATGCCTGTCGGCAAGTCATTGATCTCGAAGACGCTTCGCAACTCACGGCAATTCACTCGGCCGTACTCTTGCATCAAGTAGACTCCGTCAAATTGTTGCTTGAACAGGGAGCCAGCATCGATCTTGAGAACAGTGCTACATTCTTTGGACACCCTTATACTCTCGACGCTGATTATCAGAGTCAGGAAATTATCGACTTGTTGTGCGATGAACTAGCCGTTCGCAGGAGAGAGATGTTGCGTTTTGCAAGGAAAACCTTGACGGTGCAAGAACTGTTCGCCCTGGGCACAACGAAACAAACCATGCTGCAAACGAACGCGTTTGAAGTTCTACAGGCACTTCAGGCCAGAAATATCGACATACCTTCAATCTTTCAGCGAGTCCGACCTGGATCAATCTACCATTCTCCGGTGATGAATGGTCAATTGACGGAAGGTTTATACCGCTCCGGTTTCGAAGGGTTCAACTTCGCATTCAATGGTTGGATCCCGCTAGTAACCATGAGAATATTCGGTGACTATTTCGAGGAAAATCCTGACGATTTATTGAACTCTATTGCCTGGTTTGAAGCTCACGGGGTTGACATTAAGCATGCCATCCCTACTTTTAGCTGCAGTTCGAACGAGACAATACCTTCATCGTCTGCGTCTCCTACTACTCTTCTTCGATTGGCCACTGCTTTTGGGAAAATGTCAAAACTTCCATGCTACATTGACTCTTCTCACCCTGCTGTCTACCATGTCAAGAACAAGTCACTTCTTACACGAATCCTTTCTGATACATCTAGAGACGGTTGCAAATGTTATTGCTCAAGCCGAGGGTGTAGTCCAGCCTCCGCATTCGCCAAGGCTTGGCCAGGAGGTGACAGTTATGTCAGCGAATACTGGATATTGAATCACTTGTGGAATGTCTTTTCAACCATTCTGCATACTTCGCACCAACAAAATCCGCAACCTTTGCTAGATTTTGTACGCGCGACGACGTTTGATTTCCTCGGTATGAGCCATACATGCTGCAAGTATAAGTACGACACCAGGATAAGAGCCAGAAACATCACGAATGTGTATGATGAGATATGGATAATGGACCCAAAGGAAGTGGCGGAAATACAGGAGGAAGACCGATATTTGGCCGACAACTTGGAAGAATTGATGGAAGAACTTGCTATTCGGTTGATAAATCCAAGTTTTGACCTAGGAGACTTTGGGAACTATTGGCGCACACGAGTGGAAGAGGTTGAGGGAACGAAAGAAAAGTTGACCTGTGAGGATATACGCGCGATCCGAGAAATCGGTATCAGTTTAGAATGAGGCAGTTTGGCGAAGGCAGTCTTTTACATCATTTTAGATTTCTCTCCATTCGATGCCAATAATCTTAACAAATCACTGCCTCTTGTATGCCAGCAAGAAACTTCAAGATTTCGGGGATTGCGTGTTGTAATTTCCGTATTGTATCAAATCCCCGGACTTCAAGAAACGGATTGTGGCAGTCCCCCGAACTTGTGCCAATGACTATGCTGCATTCTGCAGGGTATTGACTACACAATCTACGATGTTGAATGCGTACGAGAACACATGAACTATCGATGTCTTTTGGGAAATTTGCTTGAATCGCACTATTCATTTCACCTTTAAGATGAGTCGCACATATTACCTGCTTATCTGCTTAGTTAACAGCCTTACGTGACTTGCCTACGGGAATGCAGATTAGTGTTCTCTCACTGACCAGTAAGCAGGCTCAACGAGCCGGCGATTATGTTTAATCACCGGGCCCGACGGGTACATTAGCCCCAGCACTCAAACGCAAGTCACTTTCAACGATGCCTTCAAAGCAGGCAAGAGCGCCAGTCTCCTGGCTACGAGACGTCGTGGAAGGTAAGCTGCGATGGATCTTTAATTCATCGTTCACCGCCTACACTCCTAGTGTCCTCTTGCTCAGAGCCATCGCTACCTTAAGACTTCCGAGTGACCGCCTTTGCTTTTGTCAATGCATGTGTGATCCTTGAACGAGGATCATTCAGCCAAAGATTCTGGCGGTGAGGGGTGACTCGATAGTCTCGATTCTCTATTGCCGTTCATTAAAATTTATCGGGCAGGAAGGAGTATTCATCAACTTCTAGGTGACTCGTTTGTAAACTATTATGAACGCGCTGAGTCAAGAAACGCCAAGTCGGATCGGCTTGACGACTTTTTATCCTTCCCAGACTTCCAGCCCCATCGCAAGAATGAAGTTGCGTAAGCCGTTGCTCATCTTAGTAGCTAGTGCCCTCCAGGAACAGAAATTTGAAATCATAATATCTGCACACGATATATGACCGAGCTCTTGCTTGGCTGGCCCGCAAGCAACTTGTAAGCATGGTCACTTGCTTGAACGTGCTCACCTATCTCCTAAAACTCAAAATCAGAATCAGTCCACAACAGCGCTGCCACGACCCGCAGTCAAGTCCTTGGAAACCTCGAGTAGACGACGATCAACGACAACACACATAGGCCCAAAAGACTACGAAGTCTGGATTTACAGCAGACGGCTTGTGCTTGATATGGAAACGTGCAAGAAATCTACAAGGTCAGTCGTTGTCTTCTGTAAGGCCTTGCATTGATTCGAATGCGGCTAGAAATACGGAGGCACCATTGGTGGGGCCGCAAGCGACGATCGTGGAGTGTTTGGTGATGTTAGCTCCCGTATTCTCGGCTTCTCCGTCATCCACATAGTGGCTCGCTTTATTCTTCGCAAAGCTAGATATCCACGCCGAGAGATTGACAAACTTTGGTTATTGAGATATCGGACTCTGGAGACTCTGGAAGGTCATGATGGAGCTGCTGTGATGTAGTTGCGAGTATCAAGACATTACTGAGTGCGGCGTATATAATATGTTTGTTCAGCTCCAGGCAGCCCAAATGAAAACATGGGAAAATAGCACCTTCAACTAAGACATCCAGCCTTCAACTTCCTTCATCCTACCTCCACGTAAGCACGTCCACCAAACAAAGACATCAGGACATTCGCTATTTCACCTACACAAAGCAAAATGAAGTTCGCTACTGTACTCGGTCTCTTGTCATTGGCAACCGCCGTAACCGCAAAGCACTACTGCTTCGGCGGCTGCGTCAAGTGCTACTGCGGCGACATCCAGTACGACGACCACCGATGCTCCATGTGCAGCTGTAATCACAACGCGTACAAGTCCGACGACCCCAACAACAAGCAAGGCAACTGCGATCAGCCTGGCGGATTCCATCTCGGATGCGGTTATAACTCGAGCGGAAAGTGCAAATAAGGAGGCGTGAGTGGCTGTTGGCATGAAGGATATGCTAGCTCATGGTCCATGGAGAGTGTAGGAGCCACAACGTTTGAGCCGGCGTGCCAAATTTTCACAGTTGCCAGTCTGTGTAATGGGATCGAGTGCTGGAGCGACATAGACCCATGGCCATGAAGAATGAGGCGACGTTGATGTAGGAGTGGCGTGCATCTTGAGGAATCCAGGGTTCTTGAATAGATTCATATGACATCCTTCTGGGCCTCTTGTAAAGACGCCTGGAGTGAATATACCTATGCTGAACAACATTTTCTACGATCATGAGACGAGATCTAGTACTGGCCGAGTCATTTACGAAAGGAAACTACATGATATGTCACGGGCTGGTATCCCCGAGTCTTGGTCGCTACATAGTCTTGACGTGAATGGAGTTCGGTAGAATGGCCAATAGAGATGCTTGAGAAACGGTTTGCGTTCGACTCAGTTGGCGGCTAGACTATACTAATGCGGCTACAGACGTAGGGTTTAGCTCAGATTGTTATGAGGCTGACATCTTTAGAGTTAAGTGATTTGCGAAGCTTAGTTGAAAGCAAGTCGCAAGCAAAGGCAGAAGCCCTGTTCGACTAGGTTGTGAAGGTCATGTAATACGCGAACTTGCACTTAAATCTAATGACAAGGAGCGTACTCAGCTTGAGGCAATTCTTCGGCGGAGTTACGGACTCAGTCTATCCGGACAAAAAGTGTCGTTATAATTGCGCGTCAACACCTTAAGTTTCCAAGTTCCCCTGGCACCGGTGGGATGCTTTCTGGAGTACGCTGCTGTTGATGGATTAGAGTTTGATTACCGGTCTCAACGGCATAGGCCATGCTACCGACGGGATGGAAAGGAGGCAGAGCTCAAGAGGACACGACCTCGCTCGCCGCGGGCTGTCGCATCTTCTGCTCATCCAAACCTCTTCCGCCAAGACGAACACCCATCCGCATACGTGCACCAAACGCCAACAATGGTCGCCATCACCCTCCCGCTCCTCGCGGCCCTCGCAGCAACCCCGTCGCAGCTAGGCATCGTCTGCGCGCGCTTCAAAGAATCACTCGATCCATGGGCGTCCGTCGCCGCTTCCACCTACCTCTACTCCAAGGGCGGCGTGCCGCAGATGAACGACACCGTTCAACACTCTTCGTTCCGCTCCTACGTAGCCCTTCCCAACATCGGACGAGAAGGCCACACGCACCTGCACCACATCGTAAACAACTACGATACCCTCGACGAGATCATGATCTTCACGCAGGCGGATCCCTTTGACCTCATCGCGCCCGCTGTAAACACGACAGAGCAGATGGTGCAAAAGGCGATGACCGTCCCGGCCGACGACGTGACGCCCTTTAACGACGCGCTGTTCCACGATGTCGCGGACTGGGGCAAAGTCGACTGGAACAGCTCGGCACAGAAGCTGTGGATCACGGCTAACCAGATCAAGAGCCTGCAGCTTGCGCCGTACACGCCGGCGCAGTTTTGGACGATGGTGGTAGGCGGGGAGCATCCGCCGGCGATCCGGGCGATGCACGGCGGGACATTTGCCGTTCGGCGGGAGACGATACGGAAGCTGCCCAAGGAGGCGTATCAGAAGGCGCTGAACGAGTTTGAGACGGCGAATTCGACGAATCCGGAGGTTGGCTTCTTCATGGAGCGCATGTGGGCGCCGATGTTCGCTGAGAAGTACCGATTGCCGAGCGTGCAGAATCCATGATGGTGTTCATTCCGGTCGGGGGTCCACGTGGGGTCACCCCTTGAGTTTACGGAAGCAAAACATGAAGAAAACAAGAGACTGCGAGCAATAGAGCAATAAGATTCTGCTATTTGGCCAAAAATGCAAAAGAATACTCCTCGACGGGGAATTGAACCCCGGTCCCCTGCGGATCGTTGAATCTTCAATGACAAGCAGATATCCTCACCACTAGACTATCGGGGATTGGTGGATGTTGACATCCAGTGATAGTTGGTTGGGAGAAGCGGTGGAGCTGGGGATTAAGTAGGCTTAGAGCTGAGTCCTGGCTCCACGGTGGGGCCGTGTCCTTGTGGAAGGTCCCATTCAGATTTGTGTAATGGCAACTGCATGTTGGCATGATGTTCAAGCGAATTCGTATCATCTCAAGCGATTTCTCAGTATGGTTTACTCAGATTTCTTTGTTGTGGAATCTCGCGATCGGCCGACAATGGGGCGGGCAGTGGATGAGGGTTTTAATACCTGTTCCGGTATATTACGGACGGGATTTTATGATGGGCATGCTCGGATACTCTGATGTACACCCTCAAATGAGAACTCGCTACTCCGTATTATAGTTTAACTTGGACGAAGTACTCGAGTGAAGTAACAGACCAAACAGATGAAATGTCGATTGAGTAGGGAAATAGGTGAAAGAAAGCCTGAGTCATCTCACAGATTGTCAAGAAAATTCCTGGTATGAAACCCCGATTGCACACCTGATGAGCGCTGATTTCTCTCGCAAGGTGTTGAAGGATACCAATATTGATTACAGGAGTAACGTGGCGTAAATAGAAAGCTGCGTCTGGGAACAGATGTAAGGCAACCTACCGCCTAGAGGGACGTAGATAGTACCAAGACAGCGATGTAGGTACCCTCAAACTCGAACGTCTAAGCTAACGAGCGTTCGCTGCAAAGACTGCCATATACAGAACTTCTCTTTCCATCTCTAAGGGCCAGATTATGTGCTTTAAGACAATAAGACCGGTGTGGCCAGCCCCATCACCCTGCAACCTGGTCTTGGCGGGGAAGGCCACAAGCAATGACATCCAAGCAGTGGGCCACCATCTGTCAAATACGGAGCTTGAAATTCAAGGTACCTGTCAGCAACCTCTAAGAAATGCGAGAGCAACCATGCATGTATATCACATCCTTTGCTGAAATCTTCTTCATCCGGAGCAAAATTTCCGGAAGTTCGTCCCGCACCCCCACGGCCCCGTCTTACCGGGGCGGGGCAGACGTACGGGACAGATGCGGCATCACCAGCTTCGTTACCTCGGACCCTCACAATCATTGGTAAAAAAGTGAGATGAAAAGCAAAGCATGGCGCTATGGCTGTAAATGACACTCATAAGCTGCATCTTGGCGCTTCCAATAGCTTCTCTTCTGAGGACGGAAAACCCATTCCCTTCTCGTCTCTGTGGCCCGACGCTTACTACGCGTGCTACGTAAGGTTGCGTTTGGTTTACCCTGCATAAGGGTTCTGCCGCTGTGCCCTTAGTCTCAGGGTCTCAGCCTAGCGTTTACCGAGAGGCCGAGCTCTAGGTGGTAGCCTCAACGGTGGTGACGCCCTCATATCCTCTAGCATTTCCGATGGGAGAGAGACCAACAACGCTCTTGCATCAGCGCAAACATCGGTGGGCATTCGTCGAATAATCACCTGGCGGCACATTAGAGTCCCTCTCGTCGCTTCATTGTCCGACAGCGCATATCCTCACACCGACGAACAGCTAAAGGCACAGGGTCCAGACTCAAAAAGGCCACCTTGGCGATGCGCATTCGCCCATCCTCTGCCAATGTCCATCCCCTCCCCGTATCGTCATCTTGCTTCCAAACACACAGCCAAATTCCAGATTCGCAGGGGTTCAACCAAGGTCACGGATCGAAGGCAAAGGGCCCTCGTCTTCCTTCCTTCCAGTTCCTGGCGGTCAATCATGCACAGCCTGTCATCATTGTACATTGGCGCCGCATGTCATCCCGTCGACGGCGCGTCTAGACCCCGAAGATCCTGCTACGACGCACCCCCTCCCCTGCTCGGTGAGTGGTGCGTACCCTCTCGGCCGGGAAGAACTAGCGTTCCTCCCGTTTGGGACTTCAAGTCCGATTTGCCGGCGGGAGAGGACATGTGTACAATGGCAAGGGTTGAGGGGACGACGTTCGTTGCAACTATCGTGAGATGAAGCGCCGTCCGTCTCCGCCAAGGAGGGGTACGATAGAGAGGGGGCAGAAGGGAGCCGAAGTATCGGTATTGCTATATCGAGAAAGGAAGACACGGCGCGCCTAGCGCTTCAGCCGTGATGCGAACCAGAATGCATACACTTCTCGACACGCCCCAAGGAAAGGAGAACAATATGCCGTGCCAATATCGGTGAGAAAGGGGCCTCGGATCACACCTTGGTATCATTGCTTCTCGGACACGGGCACGAGGCCCGCTTGCGTCTTTCGATGCGCCGGCTCTCCATCGGCGCCCGTCATCGGGGTCTTGGGTAGACGGGCTGGTCGCGAGCCGGGCTAGTGAAAGCCCGTGGGTAAGGGGATCGGGAGACCGGGCTTTCGGACGATGTAAAGAAGATTGGATGACGGGGTGAAATCGTGAGCTAGAAGCTCGCTGGCATAGCCAGAATCGGAATCGGAAACACCCATCGCTATCGTATTCATGAACACTGGTTCATGAACACTGGTTCATGAACACTGGTTCATGAATACGGGCCGGCGAGTGTGCCGTTGGAAAGACCTCACCATATCGAGGGAAGTGCCTTGGCTTGCCCTCTGATAGCACAACAAACAAGAAAAGCGGCCACAATCGTATGGTCGTACTGCCAACAAGTGGTACCACTAGGAAACCGACAGGATGCTGTTTGGTTCCAGTCACAGGTCAACATCCAGTAGCATGAGGAGCCCAATGGGCAGAAAAGTCATAGAGCCGCACTGCCAAAACCCTGCTTGTGAAGAAAATGCGGAGAATCTCTGGGGCATTACCTTTCTTCGAAAAGGAAATCCCCAATGGCCGGGAATTTGCTCGCAGGCGTTCCCTGTCATCGTATCGAGTTCGACAATGGTCTAGAACCGCGAGGTGGTATTCAGAAATCCATCTTCTCCATCAGAATGGCCACTGCAGGCAATTGATCAGCACGGGTGGCCCCAGTGTCAAGTGATAGGTATCGTCGCCCCGGTAGAAGGGTATCCTCCCCGAACACCCCTCTCCCTGCCAGATGGATCCTGCGCCGAGCGGGCTGAGAGAGCATATTGGTTGAACTGGGACAGTGAACCCCAGAGAAGCAGGGCGATTGATACAGGATCGGCGATGTCAAAAAACCGAGACACCTTTGACTTGGTTTTTGACTGGAACCGGAACCAAGGAACTTGGCGCTGGGGGCCAGGACTGGAGTTAAGTTGGACAACACCCGGCAAAATGGCACCTCGGCTTGCTCAGTCGGTGGTTTTCGCCGTGCCGGCTCCGAATAGCAGACAATCTGTGAGCGAAAGATATGCTTAGTGACGACGGAGAAGAAGGAAAGAGTGGCTCTCCGTCCAGTAGCACTGCAGGAGTCACGGCCGAGAGGAATGGAGCTCGATCCCTCGAGATGGATCGAAGATGCACCGTATGGTATAGGTCCAAAAACGTCATGCGGAAAGATGGGTGACGGTCGATCGGGGGGAGAACCTGGAACGGTGAGCCGTTTGACGGTCGGTATTGGGTGAAGATAGCATGACTATGCCGAGACCAAGAGCCAATGAAGAAGAATAGATGGACGATGCCTAGCATTCAGGGACGGATGTGCAACGTTCATCGCGATCGCAGACTAGCCGGATCGACGACAAGGGCACGGCCAGGTGCTGTCTTTAGGTATCGGGATCTCAGCTTCCTCCAGAGGGATAGTCAAATCGAGTTGTGAACGTGAATACGATAGATTCAAATAGGTAAAGTAGACAGAGGCGCTCGAACTAGGTCAAAGTGCACTAGAAGGCAAGGGTGGCTGGCTGGCAGGGAAGGGATTGGGGATAGCCACAAGCCAGGGAACTGGAAAGTTTCCGGTGGGTGAAAAGCAATGAGAGATTCTGAAATATTTGATCGAGAAAAGCCGATACCATCGAAAAGGTGCGGAAAATTGGCAAAATTGGCATTGAATGTCATCGAGATCGAAGAACGACAGAGCGTAAGCGCGGGTAGGGTATCCGCCAGTACCGTTCACGCGAAAGAGGACGTAAAGACACCATTAGCGTTTCGATCGAGTTTCGTTTCGATGACCGATGCGGAATCATGTGGTTGAAAACCCGCGGAGGGGCGGAGGACTTGCTCCCCCTCTCTAACATCAGGACCGGCGCACCGCGGGGAACAGGACGGAAAGAAAGAATGAAGAAAGTTTCAGACGCCATTGAAGAAGCTAAAACGTACCTTTAGGCCGTCAGTCGCGGTCTTGCTTACGCTCTGGATGCGGTCTTGTCGACGGGCAACGGGTGGGAGCCGATCAATCGAACAACTGCCCGATGCCATGTCGCGGGGAAGGTTGTGCTGTTGGCAAGGGATTTTGCGCATGCCACACCCGCATTCCCGTCAAGCGGCAGCAAGACGCTTGTATCGAGACTAGAGACCCTGACCAAACGTTCGTACAACTCTGTACAAGCCTGGGTGACGGGATTTGACGTGTCTCTCTTTGGTAGGCGACTTGGCTTTGCGAAATCGTCGGACAATGACTCTTAAAGGGCAGGTGATCTCTATCAAGCTCAGAAAGGCCAATATCAGTAAATGTTGGACATGGAGCGGGACGGACTCTGGCCTTGTCCCTGTGGTACCCTGCAAGCTCTGTTTGCAACGCAAACGAGGCAGATAGAGTAGAGTCCTGAGCTGAGACTATTGCCTTTGCGACCGTCTATGCGAATCATTGGTTGCTGGTGCGCTTTGGATCGATCGTTGCCTGTCGATGCGCTGGTCGTGCTGCTCGATGTGCCGATGCGATGCTTCTGTGCGTGCCGCTACTATTGATATTCGCGACGTGATGCTGTAATTCAATGTTAGTAGTCATCTGCGGATCATCCGTTCCCGCAGATGTAATGGACGATCACTTGCAGTATGAGGAAGGCCTTTGCCTCGAGGCGCAAGAGCTGTGACCACAAGGCAGAACAATTGGAAGACCAATCTCCACACTGAGGCTTACCTTGCCGATGGGAACAATAGTGGAGGAGGGGCAGGCCAAAGAATCGGGGATGACAGACGGGTAAGGCTTGAACACAGAATGTCGATCAGCTTTGTGCCATTGGGTGAATTCCCCTTATGGGACCTGATGGAATTGTTCCCTATGGAGGATACGCGTCCGAGGTGGCGATGGGCGTGGCGAGTAGATTCGTTGGCGTTTTGAGAACCGAGCAACCGAGTTTGCTTGTGTCCGCTCTTATTTCCCTTTGCCCTACATCGCCGATGAATTCTCACACATCGACGATGCGTTTGAGCTGCATAGCGGCCTCGTGACAAGCGAGAGGGTGTACGAAACACCAACCCGGCAGTTTTGAGGGTTTACGATGCCAGACTCGTCCAAAAGACCGAGCAAGTGCCAAAACACAACCCACAAGCCCACTGAAAAAGAGTGAAAGGTCAGGACAGGGTCTCTTCAGCTACGCTGTGGCAGAAAGGGGTCAGTTTGAATATTGCATGCTCATTTGCTTGAGCCGTGGGAGAAGGGTGTCCTCGCTGGCAAAGCACGAATGCACGATGGGATTTTTTTCGTCCGATCACGATGGCATGGGGAAAAGTCGATACCTGCCGTAGCACCCGATGGGCAATATGAGTCCTTCAACCCACACGCGTCTCTCGCTACGAACGCACCACGATGGCTACGCAGTAGCGTGAGCGTGCTACGGCAAGGGACCTTGGTACCCCGTGGCCGCTTAGACGAGAAAAAGATATGCCATGTAGCCCAGAAGCCGAACCACCAGTCGTTCGCATTCTCCACGGGAAGTCGATTACTTGATTATTCGAGAGATTCCTAAGCAAGGGTCTTACTTGATATTTGAGGACTCCGAGGTTTAGCGCAACTGCTTCCCGAACACCGTCTCGATCTTCTTTGATGATTGGGCGCCGGATTGATAGAGTTGAACTTCAAATTGAGCTAGGCATGAGACGACACCAAAAAAGGACCCAAGCCTTTCCCCAAAGAGGTGGGCCGTGTGTGAGCTTGAGGAATCGATATCTTTGAGACGGATGTAGTGAAGAGAAAAAGCTGACTTGGAGCCACGCGGGGTTATGCACTTAATAGCCGGCGGACCCGAAGATACGCCCAGAGTTTGGATGCAAACGAGAGAGGGAAGCCGAAGCTCGAGTCTCTTTCGGTGCCGCGCAGCCCAGCGAAACCCTCTCCGCGTGAGCGGAGATACGGATAGGGTGTGAAGACGGCATTTCGCACTCGCTGGGGACCCGGACGCGAGATGGAGGCCCTGCGGATTGGGAGAGTAATCAGGAGATAACCTCAGCAATCTTCCGATGCATCCATGTGGATTAAACCACGGCAGAGATGGCGAACAGAATGCGGAATGGGGTTTTGAGTTGTCAGTCATTCCTAATGCAGTGGCCGTTCTCCTGGGGGCGTGATGTTTTCTTACACCCATCTACGGATAGATGGGTAGTCATCAACAGCAAACTCGCTGACAGACAGGCACACAGGGAAACCGTATTGTGGCTTTTGCCTGCCGGTGTGTGACTGACTGGACTATTTCGAAGGGTCTCGGTTGTTGGCATTTAGCGGGAACCGTTGACGAATCAGCCATTTCCGTGATTGCCTTTTTGCCCTTTGCGCGCGTCGCCGATTCTGCAGCCTGTTCCTCGTTCCAGTGCATACGCTCTTATCATATCATTCTTCACGTTCGAGACGCGGTCTGACAACAGTGACAGGCACCACAAGGACAAGACTCAGGGCAGGCAGCCAAGCGAACCCAGCCTCGGACGTGAGTAACGTACGCGCAACTCCAAGAGGCGCTCTCTCTTTCGCCCTGGGCGAGCGGTGCGGGCACGCGGGCTGCTGCAGCCAGAGTCACGGGCGCTCCATTGGTGAGGATATGCGGGCTTTTGCGTGGTGCCCGTCTCTGGAGTGGTGCGGGATTGTGTGAGAGTTGAGGCAGTTACATGGCATGGCATGGGGTTTGGCACACGCGAGGCTTGCGTGGTCTTGCATGGCATTTTGGCTGTTTTGCAACGATTTAGCATTCAGTGAGACGATGGGTTTCGAACTACGATACGCCAACCTCCTCTTCATCCTTCTCCATCCATCCATCACCCCTTCTCGTCTCCGTACAGAAGAGGGGGTTCGCTTAGGTTGAGCAGCGGGACAAAGCTCGGAGGGATGGGGTATCATCTCGGCAGCGTCGCACCGTATTTCCTTCCGACGGACGATGCCCATGCAAGACGGCCGATGAGGATGAACTCTCGATGTTTACTGTAGGCATTGTGGACACATTCCCTAGCAACGGTGTCGCGCGCATAGTGCATAGTTGTGCAAAGGAAAGCGCCAAGTACCCTGCTCTGAAGATGCTGGACGCCGAGCTGGAGGGAAATGGCTTCCGGCAAGCGCTGCGTGTCTTGGGGCTTGGGAAGTCTTAGCTCCTATCAAAAAGTGAAGAAGCGAAGACGCGAGATACCCTTTACTCGCATACGAGTGCCTACTTAAGTGCCCTCCACGTTCAACGCCCTACACCTTCAACTAGCGTCTGCCCTACAGAAGTTAAACCAAGTCTTGTGGTCTTGACAGAAACAGTGACAGTAGCCAAAAGGAAAAGGGCCCGCCCTGGTAGAGCTGGGAGTTGGGACGGCGTGCGTGCTGGCGGATGGAAAATGGGCTCAGAGCAATTACGGTGATACCGAACCGTCTTGGGTTCCCCACTGCAAAAAGGTCCTCCAAGACCAGACCAGACCGTGAGACCTAAGCTGAAGAAAACGGGGACCCTTGGGCTAAGGATCGAAAAAAAGGCTGGGAGATCGACAGGGTATGTGTCTTGGCGCGCAGCCCAAGGAATCGAGAGTTTGCGCGTGTCATCGAGTCTAGCCCCTTTCAGGCACAATTTTGTCTCTCAGTAACTAACGCCCATGTGGTTATGTCGGTGCTGCCGTCTCGTCGGTTGTGGACCGTGGGGATTTGGAGCTGGGAGGGGGGACCTCTCCGTCTCTTGTTGCTGTTATCTGCATAGACGGGAGATGAGAGCGGGGAGAGGCTCTCTCGAACGGGGTAAACGGCATTCATCCATACGCTACGGATCACACACGCCCCCTCGGCTTAACGCAAAACGGATAGAGGTGTGAAGATAAGGGGAAAGAGGAGGCAAAGGAGGGAGCCAAGACAGTGGATGGCATTGACCAATCATCGACTGACGGTAGCATATGGCTGGCAAAGGTCTTGGAGGAGGCAGCTGCCGTCTCAAAGTTGCGTGGCGTGTATCTGGATGCGGCTGTCTAGTCGCGTACACAGAGATGGTAAGTCTTGGAGAGCCAAGATTAATAATTTTTGGTCACAGAAAGGTAAAAGTGGTCTGAGAAACGGAGAGAAAGATTACCAAGGAAGGATGAATTGCTAAGAGCTTCTGTGACTCTACAGAGGGGTAAATAGACTTTGGCATCTAACGGGAACTGCGAAGCTTTGACAGGAGAAGGGGGATGGATTGGAAATTGAAAATGCCATGGCGGGAAGTCTGAACAGAGGTAGGAGCCACGCACACATACACTTTTGCGCGCAAAGGGCAAATTGCAAAAGCCCGTGATCGTGTGACAATGTCAAAAAGGACAGGACAGGGCTCATCGTCTCACCAAGTCAAGTGACACTGCGGATGGAGAGAGCCAGAAACTGAGAGTCTATCACCCTCCGTCTCACTGCCTCCGTGAGCCCGCTCTGCCTGGTCAACAGAAGTCTCAAGAGAAGGTCTAGACTCTTGACACCGCGACATCCTTTTGCGGGCTTTTCTTGGCCAGCAAAATAGAGTTGCCCAGTGTCTCCCCCTTACTTTGAGTTCGTGTGTGCGCGAGCGGGCTTATTGGTCAAACATCTCCCCGAACGCTGCGGAAATCATCTCGGCGGAATCCCATCAATGCCCGCGCCGTAGGCTCGTAAGGCTCCCCCGTCGCAAAAAAAAGAGAGAACCACCGCCGCGTTGCTTTTTTGCTCATGATGGGGGTTGATTGCATCCAACAACAGCCCTTTGTCGTGCACCCGCAACGGCGGTTAAGTTTTTTCCACATTGATCGAGAAAAAGTGTTTCTCTTTGACTCGTATTCTCCAAATAAACAAATTTTCAACCTTCCAGCAAAGTATTGCAGTTTCAATAGCACGAGCTTTACCTGTGATACTCAAAGGTTAGGAATAGTAACAGAAACAAACAAAACGGGCAGAAAATAGCTCTCCCCCCAAGCAAAAGCAAATTTGAGTGGAACAACCAATCAGCCCATCACGTTTCACACAACACAGAAGCATACGCATACTCTTCAATATCTCTGAAGAATTCTCCATACTGACTATATTTGGGTTGTCGCGTTCTCCCGTGATATGCATTGTTCGCCCATACCTCCGCCGGGAAGGGCCCAATTCTCACGTAAAGAGGCTGTATACGCCAAACAAATTCCTCTCGACCCCGGATCCCGCCGACCAAAAACGGGACGCAGAAACGCCAATTAGGAGTGGCCGTTGGCTCCGTTGTGGTGCCGTCCCCGTTGGTGCCGTTGATGCCGTTGAGCGTTGGGGCTGGTCGCCGAGTGGTCTTGCGCCCCCCCCCCCCCCCTCCGGGACGCCGGGATATGGATTCGAACGGGCAACTTGGACCCCGAACTTCAGGCTGACACCTTTTTGACATACACAGCCCTCGGGAAGAGGGGGGCACGGGGGGGCGCACGAGGTAAGCAAGTATAGTACTTTGTAGGCTGACAAGGATGGAGGAGTCGAGCACGAATCCGAAGCCGTAAAGTAGAGGATGGGAAGTGCACATGCGAGGGAAACAGAGAGGCAGCAACAGCATCTCGAACTAATCTTTGGACCGCAGCAAAACACAGCACCGCACCCTGGGTCCGTAGAGAAAACCCCATGCTCCGGGGAAGGGATAGACCCAGGCAATATTGATCACCAGCTAAGAGTCAGAAGGGGCCGCAAGGACCGCCTTGAGGACCCTTTGGAGCAAAAAAAAAGAGAATAGGTACTAAATGGCGCTCTCTCGGTGGGCTTTTGTTTGCGACAACATGCAATTCCTTACGCGGAAATCGCATGGTTCGGGCCCTCCGCCCGCCCTAAGGCCCCTCTATGTAAGTTTGAGGACGTTCCCGCCAAGTGGATGCCCTTTTTTGCCCTCTTCGCTTTCGACGGGCTCGCTCGCTCTCAGCAGAGCAAGCATGCCATGTCTATCTTATCACCCAGGGCCAAGCCCAAGCCAAAGAGAACGAGGCGCAAAGGCAACGCATCAGACTGTGCGCCATGGCGCGTCGTTGAGAGAGATGGAGGAGCCTTGAGAGGTGCCTGAGTCCCCACTTAGTTGGAAAACGGCAGTGATGGCGTAAATTACATACGCAAGGGAGAGGGAGATTTACAACGGCTTCCCGTGAGGATCATGCAACATTAGCATCTAGCACGACGGCTGCCACGAGCGAATTATCAATCCAAAACCGTAGAGAGGGACTTGCGGGCTGCCTCTGCGAGTCTGAGCCAAACGAAAATGCGGATTATTTTCCAAAATCAAAGGGTTGTTGAAGGCTCCAGAAGGAACGAGACGGTAGTGTTCCAACGCCGCTCCAGTGCTCCACGGTTCGGGGCTCCGTTTTGTCGATCTGGGGTGGCCCCCGTCGTTGGGACTTGGCTCTTTTGATCGTTAGGTCCCCTGATATTCAGCTGGGACAGCACAGCTGAGGATGTGTCGAAAACGGCGATTGAGCGTTGAGGTGGCCTGATGATGGGTGGTATTCATCGGTGGCTCGGAGATTTTGATCAAGACGCCCCCTTCAGGAACATTGAGAGAATCTCCATTGGGCTGGGGACGGGCGGCATCTCGAAACATGAAACCTTGCGCTACTTTTGCCAAATCTCCAACGTACACAGTAGACTCCTATTCCTTCATACCCACCATTGACAACCTCCACCTCCCGTGATTCAAGCCAAGTCCGTCGATGTGTGTGTGTAAGAGTGAGAGTGTGAATGCGAACGTGTATACCGCCCACCCTATCACGCACAATCCACGGGCTCCGCGCGGCCGCCCCATGAGACGCCGACATTTCCACGTAATACAGCTGGCTTCAAGTTCATGACCACCCATCAAACAGTCAGGATCAGCCTTTTGGCGAGAACCTAAGGATGAACGGACACACATACACACACGCACAAATCCACACCACGTTGCTCTATCCGTACTGACACTCGGCGCTACGGGTTCATAGCTTCCCCCGCCGTTTGATGTCGCTTCTCCGCCACACCCTCCACAACCCGTCCTGTAATCGAGATGCGCAATCAAAGCCACCTCTCGACCAGCGTCTCGGACTGATGACCTGCCCTGCCTGGTATCGCCCGGGAGGCTTAGAAAGAGGGGGGAGGCTGTTAGAACTTAGGGGCCCGCGGGTGATAGCATCGACGATGGTAGGACATTCGTCGTCCTTTCGATCAAGCACAAACATGCCAACGCGGGACCCAGATATGCGCAACGCAACATGGGAAAATAGTAACATCCAGGGAGGGCGCATTCGGGAAACGATGGAGCAGGAGTGAGGTCTAGAAGTCTGATCAATCACTTTTTCTTCTGTTTTTAATTCTCCTTTGGTTTGGACCCTGAATTTCAGAGCTCCATCTTTCCGACCCATCCCATGCGAGATGTGTTAAAAGTGCCGACGTTCCCCATCAATCTCCGTGCCGCGAAGGAAGACGCAACCCCTTGAATGTTTGTCTTCACCGGTAAACAAACACTTTCGCTTCTTCCTTTGACACAAAAAAGTCTTTGAGCAGACAATTTTTTACCTTCGACTGGTTCGTTGTTCATTTACATTGAAACTCTATCCACCGGTCTGGAAGAGTCATACCGCCCAGTCACCGACGTGTTGTCGTTTTGTTACCTGATCAACAAGAAAGGGTTCAATTTGACAAGTCATCGAAAACCCACATTGAATCAACACCGCCTAGCGAAAGGAATAAAAATCCCCGAGGGTTCCAGTTACCGGCGCTTACGCCGTGCGAAGCGAGCGAGCAGGCCTCAATTCACCAATACATCTCATCCAGGCAGGTCTCAAACAGAAAGACAGAAAGAAAAAAAGAGAGTCACACTACTCCGTACCCTAGGGCTTGTCGAGTTACAAACCACGCATTTCGGCCTCAGCACTGCCCAAAGGAAGAAAGACGGGAAGCTAGGTATTACGACTCAGATATTGCAGGCAACGCTCTCCCGATATCTGCCCAATCGAACGACAACCCCCAGTCCAGGACTCCAGTTTGCGTTTGCGTTTGCCGTTCAGCTGTACACGCCCCTCCTCCGTGGGACGGACGGCACCCCGTTGGAACGAATATTTCCGTAAGACTCTCCATCCGTTCCGTTATCACCTTTTGTCGCATATAGTGCATATGCATCGTCCGCATCCGTTACGAATGGCACTAACCCCACACCCCAGTCTTATTCAACCAAGCAAACGCTGACGCGGGCCCTTTACGGGACTTACGCCCATCCGTAATCACCACGTCGTCTCCAAATCGGCATCGACCGTCTCGCCAGTCATCGAACCGTCACTTTGACGGTTCACCCACACCATCTCGCATCCACCCAGCAGAACACCGTCACGCCCTCTCTCTCACTCTCACTCTCCGTTCTCCGTTCTTCCTCGCTCTCCTCTCTCTCACAATCTCTCACAGTCTCTCTCCCTCGGCTTGGCTGGGGCTTGGCTTCACACGCCCCTTCTCTCTCCTCGAACGACCACCAGTTCCCCCTTGCCCTTCTGACTTCTTGTCGTGCTGGGCGGCATCACCCACCACTCACTGCTCCGAGCACAAGCTGCACAAGCCCGGCTCTGTCGGACAACGGAGTGTGAGCGAGTGACCGTTGGCCGTCTCCCTTCTTGCCGACAGTTCCATAGGCCGTCGCGCCTTGCACATTTCCAAGCAAGCTTGCATTATTACGCTGAGCCTGCCATCACCATCCGTTCTCTCGTCGATCCCACACACACACTCACTCACAAGCACACACACTCGCACACCCCTCTCCTCCCGAGGGCCTTCACACACACCCACCCCCCTGCCAGACTCACAGATTACACCCTGGTGTTCGCTTTTACCCTCCTTATTTCTTTTCTTAACCCCTCACCCCTGCCGCTCACACCCCCCCTTGGACACCACACTGCTCGTCCTCCCACAGTTACTCTTCATTATATATCATCAAGCCTTCCCACGCCCACATCTCGGGACCTCACTTTCTACACCAACTTTTGCACTTGCAATACAACTCCAACTTCCAACATACAACGACTTGGAATACTATACCAAAGGCAAACCAACATCAGCACTACCACCAACACCACCACCACCACCACCAACAGGGATAACTACTACGATACCATAGAACAACAACACCAACAACCACCACCATGCCTTCGACGAGCTCGCGCCCCTCCCAGATCCACTACAGCTCCTCCTCATCCTCCGACTCCGACCTCTCCTCAGCATCCTCATCCTACAGACACAGCATGGACTCCATCTCCAGGCCCGTGGCCTCCGTCGAGGTCCTTCGCTGCCTGCGCTGCGCGAGGTCCGTCGAGGCCACCTCCACCGACGACTCCAGCTCAACGGGAATGGTCCGCATCGCTCACAACCTCTACTACTGCGAACGCTGCGCCAAGATGGTCGGCTACAAATGAGTGGCCCATAGGTCGGGATGTAACTTGGGGGTGACGGATCAGTATACGACGAGCCGGCACCATCTTCTTTATTCCAACCAACTGCAGCAAAACCTAGTCTGCAACTCCCATGGACACTACTCCAATGACAGCCGACGATGGCCAACCTCCTCAACATGACTGAGGTACACCACCATGCGAAGGACAACTCTACGCCAGGCACCACAGCTTGAGCACATAGCTCGGCTCGGTTACGACCTGGGGATCTTACTCAGTCGTCCAGGGACCCGACGGACACAGTCATGTCTGACTGACTATGTCACCCTGAGAGGGAGACCTCATTCCTTCACCAAGGATCAGCACTACAGGTCGGCGATTCCCCAGACCGCGTCTGAGTTGCCAATCAACTCCGCGGTCTGATGGACATTTTTTTTCTTCTTCTCTTCATCTTCAATTCTATTCTCACGGACTGAGAAGAGAGCATCGAAATGTATGCACCGTGCACTTGGACAAAGTGGGTCCACTCTCCTTTGGATTCTTCTCTCGACCTGGCCTCGACTCAGTCACATGGTCACCCCGTCGAGGTTGAAACAACCCACACAAGCCCTCCAATGGACATGAACGACGGCACATTGCTACAGCAGCATTATCCAATGCCACGCAACGTCAGAAAGATGTCAACACGGCACAACAAGCACATGCACTCGCACACAACTTGTCGTTCAACATCCGTTTTCCACAGTTGTCGACAGCCGTGCCGAGTCGGCGCCGACGGGGTCTCCCGGTATCCACATCTCACCAGCTGTCAATCATTCAACCGGGTCTGACATGATCTGACCCGAATTGACAGCTACGATGTTTATGGATACCTTCTCGCCCGACCCAGTGGCTGAGTCCGGTCAGGAACTTATTTTATCGAACGCCTTTCTTCCACGCATCTTGGCTTTTTTCCCTTCTACAGTTCTTCCGACCACATGGACGGAGGGATGCACCTGCACCAGCAAAAGGTCTCAGGGTTAGTCATCTCACAGCCCGGCCTCTCCCATTGGCTGCACGATGCCCCGTGTCTCCACTTTCCCACCCTTCGGGGCGCGGGATTGGCTGACACTGGGGCCTTGGCACTTCCGCAACCGGCTATTGGCGCATGGGTCACCCCACATTCTCTCACTTGCAACGCGCAAGAAAAAAAAGACTCGGCAACGCTGGGCGAACAGGCAACAGTTTCATGTACCTTTCTTGTGCGCTGTTTGCGGTCTTCCGCCCACCTCCAACGCACAGGCCGCTGCGCCTGCCTCGGCTTCCGCTTTGCTTCTCTTTTTCGGTGCCTGAGAGCGAAAAAGGTCCCTTTCTCGTTCGTCTCGGATACGAGGAGAATGTGGGTCCGAAAGGGAAGAAGAAGCCACGGCTTATCTTTTTCTCTTTCGACCCTTTGGCTTCGTTCCGCTGGTTCAATTGCCGGCGCTTGCTATAGCGACTTTTTGTCACTTCAGGGTCTCCCCTCTCTCAACTCCCCTATCAAAGGGGAAAAGACATCATTGTGCATGATGATGCTTCTACCCCGAAACCCTGGAATATAGTCGGTTGGCGCTTGCTGTTCGCGACTGCAGATGCACCACCAACTTTAGCGCGCTTTGCGTGGTTAGGGGGAAAACATACACAAACCAGTCCATTCCACAGAGGGAGTGGAACACGAGTCGACGATGCGGACGTCATTGGAGAATCATAGGGGTCCTCGTGAGGGGCACGCCTCTCTCTGCCCTTTGGTGGGCGCGCTTTTCTCAATCCCGCCCAATCACGACCATTCCCCTCTCCGCAGTCGACTCCGTCCCTGCTTGGTGGGCGCCTCTGACGTCGTCGCGCATGGGGAAAGGCAATATTTCTGTTTGCTACCAATTTATTTTTTCTTGACTTCTTTTTTCGATGCCGCAGTCTGTCCTTGCGGGGCTAGGGCGAGTGGGCTCTTTTTGGGGATTTTTTGATGAGCGCGGAATTGGAATAGCATCATTAGCGGAATTGTTTTTACCATGGGAAAAAGATACGAGGAGGAAAGTGTACAGGATACTACTACAATACCCTTGGGGCATCATTTGGCGAAAAGAAAAAACGGGGATTTAGCATTTTCAGCAGGCGGATACCAGACTCTTTTACAGAAATGTTATGAAACATATCAAGAACAATCAAATGAAGCAATTCGCAAGCTCTTTGGCCTCTTTCTAAATTGTGAAAAAATCATTTGCTCATCATTACCGTGATGGTATCTTTGGGCCAGACAGGCTCAAGATCTCATTCCCGAGCCCTCACAACCCTGCCAAGCTTTGTGGTGTCAATGCATTGGGCCCCATGGCTCGATTACGCCCGAAGCAAACAACAGAAAATCGGAAAAGTTCCGGGGATTTGTTGTTGATGGGGCCTCGACGAAATCGATGTACGGATACGGAGTACTCCATAAGATAGTCTGCTAATCTCTCTCGCGATAAACCTCGCAATCTTGGCAAAACCTCGTCCGCCCCGTGTTGGACCGTGGACGAAACTTATGTCTACGAAAAGGGCTTCAAGCGCCTAGCGGTAAAAGACTGAACCGACCGAACCGCCCGCCCACTCGCCCGCCGGCCGGCCGGCCGATACGGCCATTTTCAGACCAGACATTCCGTATCCCGTGGGACGGACTTTTTTGGAATCAGTCCATGCGAAAAAAAAAAGTATCCTAGATAAAGACCAAAGCTTGGCGAACGACGCAGAAGAAAAAGAAGCGTAAAGTATCCGTACTTTTTCCACAGCATCCCGTCGGTCCCACGGGCGAACCACCCAAAGAAAGCAAAAAGGTTAAGAAAAGTGCGAGAAAAAAATTCAGCATCAGGGTGAAGCCTGTCGGCCGTAGTCCGTACCTCTCTCCCTCGCCCTCCTCCGAAACACGCGCCTGATGAAGAGCGGTGCTCGAAGAGCGGACTGCCTGCTGTTGTGTCAAGTTGTCTGCGATCGGAGTCGAGTCCGGATCTAGGAGAGGTTGTTGGCCCGCGACGGAGGGAGAAAGAGGTAGAGCCGCGGAGGGGACACACAGACAGAGACACACAGAAAAAAGCTGAGACGAAATGTTTCGTTGGTCTCCGGACAAATCCGTGTCGTTCGCTCTCTCGGCCAAGTCTTGGATTTCCTGTCTCTCGCTTCCGCGGACCATCAACGTCCCGCGGCTACCAGTCTCAGCAGTTCATTTCGTAAAGGTCAACGGAGCATCACCCTGCGAAAATGAGTATTATTGCGTGTCTTGCTCAGATAGCGTAACTACATACTATTGATGATGCAATTGTGTCATTATGCTGTTCGATACCAATACAACGATTTCAGCTCGGTGTCACGTTACGTTACAGCGACTTCACTCAGGGCCCCGAGGCCCGCATTCCAGTCCTTCTCGTAGCGTACGTGTTTCTAAATATTGCCCGCATCTCGCATCTGGGGTGTGGGGGATGAGAGGCGAAGTGCAGCCCGCCTCCGGTCCCTACCGTCCGGTTCGCGTTTGGCGTGTGTGCAATCTTTACATTTCATGATTTCAACACTGGAGGGGGAAGCGATCTGCAAACATCTGCACGGAAAACAGGAACTTTGACGACTCTAGAAGCGTTCGGTCCCTGATTATCAACGAATCGGTAACCTTGCGAAACTCTTTTGGGAAGAGGACGGCCTTTGGGGGAGATGGTGTGCCAAGGTGCAGGAGGGTATCCCGTTACGGCGAACGGTTTATTCTGCTTTGGGGCGTTGATGTTGCTTACCACCACCTCTTGACTTAACGTACATCTATGCATGTGGACAGTTCGAGTTGACTGTGGCTGTGAAAAAGATGCAAAGACCATCTGCATGAGACCGGATGGCAGGCCAGGTAAACTACCACCAAAGCCATCAATCACCGACTTTTTCTGCAATATGGACGAATAGAGTAGCGCGAAACCAGTCCATACAATCAAACCGTGGAGCCGCGCTCGCATCCTGCGCACGCACAGCGCAGACGCAGATCACAACCTCTCAGCCCCCCCCCCCCCCCCTCCTCTTGAATGGCCTCGCGCATGTCCGTGACATCGAGGTATGGGCCTTCGCTTAGCATGTAAAATGTATCAGAAACCGCGCTGGCGCCGGCGCGAAGGAGGAAGGCGGACATGGGCAAGGTCAGGAAGAGCGCAGCGAGAGCAACGATAATCATGGCTCTTGGGGTGTGACATGACACGAGAAGATCTACCGCGCAGGTTGTTGGCCTTTTTCTCTCTTCTTTTGGGTCGTACGCGGGACGCCGCAGCTGGGATGGAGCTGGGAAGAGTGTCAAAGGGTGGATGAACTGCGGATGTCGACATGGAGGCACGGATTGGGGCTGCGACTACTCCGACGGGGACGAGCTCACGAAGGAATGAGGAGCTGGGCGTTTGATAGTCCATGTCCGCGGAAGCTCAGACTTGAGGGTTGACCACGGTGTCGTAGTGTGGCATTCGTAGATCGTCCACGCTCGTCTCGCCGAATTCCGGCGTCAGGGCCATGGCTCCCCCTCCCATGGCTCCCCTTGAGCCGCGCGAGCGCGGTATCTCTCGCTCGTCTCAACCGCCTCCCCCCCATTAACAGACGCCGGCTATGATAAAGGGGAGCCTCTTATGATAACGACGTGTATGCGGCTATAGTACCGAAGAAGGGGTCTTGGTTGCAGCTTTCGTGGGGAAAGAAGAGTGACGCCCCTACCATCGCCTCCATGTATGATGGTCATGGCAGGACGGTCAGCTCCGTAAGGTGTGATTATCACCCCGTCTCACAAGGTTGTCTCCAGCTCCGGGACTGGTAAACCGTAGGACGATTTTTCTCAGCTCGACATGGAGTAGGGTTGCGCGCGAAGTGGGAGCATGGTGATGGTTGCTACTCGGTACGGCAGACGAATTGTCTGCAAACGGACGACAAGAGGGCAGCTTTGCAAAGAGGGAGGCCTCGTAGTTCTGAGACTAAGGACTTGGAAGTTGGCAGACAGGACAGGATTCCGTCGATCGAGAAGATGGGGGTACGTTTCGTATGGCGAACATCACCATGTCCCAAGCCTCCTCCCGTTCGCCTCGATCAGCCGCCAGCGTGATTTATTCGGCAGATAGGGCTCCTTCTTTGGCGGGGGAGGCTGGAGACAAGGCGGGCAAGGGACTGTTACAACTTATTATCCGTGGTTCCGTTCGTACGGATTGAGAGCTTCACAATCTGTGAGGTGTCGATGGAATTGGGGCTGACAGAGAGAATGGTGGGGTTGAGTGGCATCTGGAAATGAGAGAGCGAGGGCTCAAAAAAGCACGGTTCGGCGAGTCGTACTTGCGCGGCAGCATGATACGACCAAGATAGAATGCGACCATCACCCACATTGAAAGAGTGCGGTAATAGACTAGAGTTTCTTGACTCGGCTCTAAATTCTGGAGACGGGGATTCTGTCCTGGTTTGAGATAGATGGGCACAAACGATCGACACTAAGGGAGCGAAAGTCTGGCAGGCCGCAGGACCCCAGCTTACGAGATTTATTCGGGGTCCTGGCCTGTGCTGCAGCGAGAGCAAGCGAAGTACTCCGTAGAAATGGATTGTTGGTGATATGTGAGGAGCTTCGTATGGATATTACATGATTGCTTGCATCTGGTGTTGCTAATTTTGGGGCCATTCCGAGGAGGAGGGGGCCACCATATGGGGTTTCCTTGGAACTCTTCGTCAAGGCGTGCAGATTGAGGTTCGTTCCGACTTGCCGGAGCCTCACTTCTCATGTTTCCTTCCTGCGCGCCCCATCATCTTTTTTCTCGCCTTGGAGGTTGAGTGCAAATATGTGCCAAGCTGTGCGACAGAAGAAGAACCCCTGATCAATATTTGGGGCCCCTTGGGGGTGAGATTTCCGCAAGATAACGTTCAAACTCTGGCAGAGGAGGGAAATGATCATCGTAAAAATGCACTGGATACGGGCGTGTTCGGATCATGTGGGGAAAAGAATTGGTTTGATAACCATACCAGCTGAGTCGGGGGTGCTGAGCAGCTGAGATACCGATAGCCTCTCCTGCCAGCCCTGTTCTACATACCTGGTCGTTCTTTTACGGAGCAACGAGCTATGAACTTGAATTGAAGGTTCAATTGCATACGAGAGGGTAGACACCCGGTAAAGAGCTTGTTTGTGGTTATCTGGTGTCACTGGAAATGCAAATTGCAGAGGACGGTGATGCCCCTTCTCCATAAGTCCAGGGTCCCTCTTTGATTCCAGGCCGACTACGAGTTTGTTGGGTTAGGTGTTCCCTTCTTGCGAGACAATTGGGTTCTTTTGCAGGTCAAAAGTGAGGCCCAGTAAGACCCTCCCCTGCTCACCACCCTGTTCTCTTCTGAGTTGAACGGAGAAATCCAAGACACGCAGGGCTCCTCGTACTGAGCATTCGTACAGTCGGGCAGGGAGACATTGAGGCTGTGCGAAGAAACAAACTACTGCTTTTTCCCCGGCAAGGGCTTGCATACAGGAATCGAGGCTGTTCCGGTGAGTCCTGCAGTCCTGCCAAACAACCACCGCCACCAAGGGTAAGCAACCCCCGGTGCATAAGGTAGGTAGATCCGGGTCTCGCATATGCCGGCTGCGCCGTTCACTTTGTGTTTGTTGCGTGGCTTCGGACGTGGCCTTGAGACGGAAGATTGACGGCAGGGAGAAGGGGCCGGAAGAACGGTGCGGACGAGGGTAGGACGGAACCCCCGGACAGAAGGTACCGTAGCTTCACGTCTATCACGGTGGCTTGCAGTCTGCAGATGATGTGGTTATCGTGGCTTTCGCCTACCGCTGCATCTCTAGCGACGAGATGCAATACATGCTCAGGAGTGATCCCTCCCGGCTCATACGGCTCAGCGTCGTCGTCATTGGCATCCTACACTACTCCGTACAGAGTGAAAGGAAGGGGAAGCAAGCTGTCACCGTTCGGCTCGGGCAGCCATCCCAAGGTTGGCGGCCATTGACCAACCAGCCTCCGTCTACTCCGTACGTCCCACAAGTCTCACGTCGAAAACGGACTGGGCACATCTACACACCCCCATCTGACGTTGCCGGCACACCCTTTCCTTCCTACACCTTGACGTTTTTGTGCCTGACGAGTAGCGAACATGATGAACGGCATCAATGACGGAGCTCAGGCCAGCTTGATCCGTTTATTATGCGAAATAACGGACCCAATTGACCCATTGCACCGTTCGAGATGAGGAAAAGATGCAATAACGAGAATATACCTTTTTTGATTTCCTCGTTCTCGATATCATTTTGACAACCGTAATTTGTCTATAACGGCCGCACATTTGGTTTCAGACAACGGTTCATAACGCTCCTATCATAATTTCTTGGCCTTGCGTCTGCGCATCTGCCCCGTACACATCTGTATCTGTGCATCTGTCTGGGCACTGATACCAAGCCAATCTCCATCTCATCACACATTCCGTTTCCGGATTTCTGGTACGATGTGCTCGAATCGACTTAATCGTCTGATGTGATACATCATCGTCATCAATACCATCACACACACACACACGGGGTCGTCCTTTACAACCCGAAAGCCGCTTCATGAGTGGTCTCCCAGGGGCGCCTGGGCTAAGGTTTCCTCGCGAGAAACCGGCTCCGGCTGCCACGGAGCGGACATGACGGAATGATCCAAGCAAAATCTCCAGCATCCCCAGCGTACCCGCGCCGCGCACATGCAGCGTTTGACAGCTCGGTGGTCTGATGTTGGGGCCATGCTCCTCATCGTAAGATGTCTTTTCTCCGCGGTTCAAGAAAGACGTTGGACTGCAATCTCGTCGATTGTGGGGATTGGAGATGCGGGCTTTCAAACTCCTTGACGTGTGTGGGCTGATGGATACGTTCTCGTTTCAACAAAATCGTTAAGCGAGAGACTTTGAGAGGTTGAGAGAGAAGACGATCCCTGGTGCGGAGTACGTCCAAATCCGCGGAGACAAGTCGTGCGTCTGCATGTTTTCCCCTTGTCTTGGCTTCGCGGATGATGATGCTATTCGGAACCATACCGGGGAACTCCACTTGCCGCAATTAAAAAATCGTACGGATAGATTGGACAACCTGTCACATTGCGGTTGACGGTTCCCACCTGTCCACGCAATTCTTCAAGGTTTTTCTCCACGGACCACGGCACTGTCAGTGTCAGAATGTCGCCCACC